GCTCTGTGCATAGCCCAATCTATTACAGCGGCTGGGGACTAACGGAGCCCGGAGCACACCTCACACCTCATCCAAAGGAAGGCTCTGTCACAGCCGTGCACACCACAAACACACTCGCCAAACTCGGAAGGTCGGGACTAAAAAGCAAGCTCAGCTGCAGAAACTGAGCCCCTGAGAGGGGCAGCGAGTGGCCCCAGGTCACATAGCGAGTCGGAAACGAAGCTTTAGTAAAATCCCCGCCTCCGGGTTCCTAGGACCCCACTCCACTGGCCTCCTCACGATGCGGGCTGTGGATAACATCCCTACAGAACTTCAGCCCCAGTGGCCCGCCTCCGTAGGGCCGGGACTTGGTCTTCGCCCCACGCTTCCACCCGTCAACCCGCAAACCCTGCCCATCCTTAGACCAGGCCCGCCTCCTCCCCCAACCCCGGCCCAGACCTCCCAGCTCAACTTCCACCGCTGCCCGACCTGCAGAGTCGCACTCCCGAGAGCCAGCGGCGGCCGACATTTCCCTGCCTGCTTCCTCAAGCTCTTCATCCCGCCGCCTGCCCGCGTGCTCCGCCCCCATGCGGGCCCGCCCCCGCGTGCCCACTTCCGCCAATCGAAATTCCGCCTGGTCCATAGCCCCGCCCCCGGACAGAATGGGCCCCACCCCCTGAAGCCCGGCATCCTCTAATCCCCACCGCCCCTTCGGAGACGGATACCTGCCTCCGCCAATTGTCGCGCGCTCTGGCGAGGTACCCGGGGCCGAGTTCCAACCGCGCGGCATCGGCCAGTCCAGCTCGGGCTTCGTGCACCTGTGTCGGGACAGCCAGTGGAACTCAGGATCCCGGGTCCCAGAGTCGAAGCCTGTGGCAGGAACAAGGAGCGCAGTCTGAGCCATGGACTTGAAGATCCGGCTCCACGTGTGTGTGATTTATTCTGTAGAGAATCTCCAAGCTCCGTTTCCCTAGCGCGCAGCATGGGCCTGAGGTCCAAATGCAGTAGTCGATGTGAACGCAAGAGCGCTATGCCGCCGGTGGTGGTAACCAACGAGGCGAAGAGAATGAGGCAGGAGGATCAAGAGTTCGAGGCCAGCCTGGGCTACACCTTTATAGCCGGCCGCCGGTAGCTCATGACTGTAATCCTAGCTATTCTGGAGGCAGACATCATGAGACTCGCGTTTCAAAGCCAGCCCCAGGCAAAGAGTTCGGGAGACCCTATCTTGAAAAAACCCATCACAAAAAAAAAAAAGGGCTGGTGGAGTGGCTTACGGGGTAGGACCTGAGTTCAAACTCTAGTACCGCAAAAAAACAAACAACAACAAAAAGAGTGCTATGCCAAAGTAGAGACCCGCTATTTTTCTGACCTCACAGTATAACTATGTGCTAAAATCTGTGCTTCATACATATATGAGTTCAGAGAGGTTAAGTCCAAAATCACAGAGTGGCAGGGTATAGGACTCTGCCAGGTGCCTGCATTAAAGAGGAGGCTGGGGGCTTTAACTACTCATCACCTCCATCTGCCACTTGTCAAAGAAACATGCCCTAAATTAAACCAGTGTGCCTGTGTGTGCGTGCTGTGAAATACACCATCAGGAACCATATGGTTCCCCCTTAACCAGACTGCCACCCCTCCTTCCTAGAAGTTCTTGAGCTACCCCTGCCCCTTACTTAAACTCAAAACACTTGGTATTAACCCTTCTGCTATCCTGCCTGCTCTCCTTGTAGAACTGCATGAACCTAAATGGGAAGACCTAGACTCCCAGTCCTGGCTCTGGCATGACCAAACAGTACTTTTAAATTATTTTCAGCATTTACATACCACTAACCCATATTCCCCCTCACCTGATCCTCATAAAACCCTTAGATTTCTAGGTAAGGCAAGTTTATATGTCTGTTGTACAATCAAAAAGCCAAGGTCTGAAGAAATAAAATAAATTGTTCACATTCACATCCAAAAAAGTCACAGATCTGGGGTTTGACTTAAATCTCTGGACTTTCTGGGCTTTAGTATCAGAACCTGGTCCTATTACCTCAACTGATGAATGATCTTGGGTAAGTTTCTTACCTTCTCTGTTTACTCTTCTATAAAGGGTATCTACCCTTTAGTATTGCTCAAAAGACTGAACAAGGACTTGTGGACTGGCTCAAGTGGTAGAGCACCTGACTAGCAAATGTGAGGCCCTGAATTCAAACCCCATGCTGCCGAGAAAAAAAAAAAAGCTGAACAAGATAAACATGGTTGTTCTGCATTGTCTAAATGTCTAGAAAAATGTCTGACACATAATACGTGCTCAAGTAATGTTAGCTAACTGATCTCTTGGCTAAGGCACTCCCACACTCTGGTTTTTGTGCTGAACAGCATTATCGATGAAGGACTGGGTGAGAAGAACCCAGTTCCTTTTACCTGAACCCTCTTCCTGGACCCTAGTCTCTTTATCTGTAAAATGCAAGGGTTTGGCAGGTGACTATCCAAGGGTCTGTGGGTTTTGAGAGTCTCCTCTCAGCCAAGCCCCTCCCTGAGGAAAGTGCTATCAAGACAACTCAGAGAGATGGAGTCAATGCAGTTTCCCTGCTGCTTACCCCAGGTGTGGTGTGCACCCTGGAGGTCTGTAAGACAGATACCCAAGCCTCAGAGAGAAGTTACTCTTGACTTCTCTACTTTATTCTTACAGCCAACTACCAAGCTATGTTCATCAGTTCAACAAACGTTTATTTATTAAGTGCCTACTACAGGTCAGGCACTGTTCCCATCAGTTGAGATTAAGCTGTCCACACAACCCAAACTCACAGCAACCTTGGCACCTTCATTTTCAACAATTTGGCCTCAATATTTCTCTAGTCCACTCCTTCGTCCCTAGTACCATCACCTCATTTTTTAGTGTCTGAACCATATTCCTATCAATCTCCCTACTCCAGGCTCCTCCTTTCATACCTGTTATCACAAGAGCTATTCTAACTTGCAAATCTTGCCTAATCACTCCCTAGTTTAAAACTCTCTCTACAAGTCATAGGGCAGAGTCCAAGCTCTTTGTTACTTATGTAAGCCTCTTCATGAGCTGCCCTCTGCTGGCCTCTCCTGGCTGAGCTCTTTCCACACCCTTCCAAGTTGAGTCCCACCAACCAGTTCCTCCCACTTCGGTGCCCTTTTCCTTCCTTGTTGCCTAACTGGAAAAAAAATCTTGTTCTTTCTTCTAGTCTCAGTTTCAACATCACCTCCTACAGGAAGGCTTCCTTAAGCCATGAACTGAGGAAGCATGAAAGCAAAACACTGGTGAGCTCATGTTCTGGAGTAGAACAGTTTACAAGCTCTGTTCTCAGGCAAGGCATTTACCTTCTCGGAGCCTCAGTTTCCTTATTTATAAAATAGAGACATTGATAATACTTATCTTGAAAGGTTATGATAAGGATTAAATGTGATAGTTTGTGGAAAAGGTCTTAGAACTGTTGGGCTGGGGGAGTGGCTCAAGTAGTAGAGCATCTGCCTATCGAGCGTGAGACTTTGAGTTTAAGCTCCCCCCAAAAAATGGTGTCTAACACCTAATAAGTCAACAGTGAACATCAGCCATGATGACTTTTGCACAAAGGGAGGAAACATTTTGTGAGCTCCTGCTATGTGATAGGCACTTTCACATGCATTATTTCTTTTAATTCTCACTACCCATGAGGAAGATATTTGTTATACTTAGAAGACTACTGAAATGAAGGTTCAGAGAGGTGAAGTGGCTTACCCAAAGTCACACAACTAAGGACTGGCAGAGAAGAATTTCAAGTGAAAAGGCTGTGTAGCTTCAAAGCCCATGCTCTTTGCTGTTAAAGGTCAAGTATCCCTTATCCAAAATGCTTGGAACCAGAGTGCTTCAGATATTAGACTTTGGAATATATGCATAAACAATAAAGAGATATCTTAGGAAGGAACCCAAGCCTAAATGCAAAATTCACTCATGCTTTATGTATACTTTATACATATAACCCGAAAATAATTTTAGACTGTATTTTTAATAGTCATGCACATATAATAAAGTTTCAGGGTGTGGTATTTTCTACTTGTGGCATCATGTTGACACTCAAAAAGGTTTGGATTTTGGAGCATTTCAGATTTTGGATTTCTAGATGAGAGCTGCTCAACCTGAATTATTATTATTACCCCTCCTACAACCACTATTAATAATCATAAAGTAAATTATTTTTATTATTTCAAGATTTAGAGATAAATTTTTCCTTGCTTACAGAATAAATTATAAATTCCTTAACCAGGCACTCATGGCTTTATAGTCTTGTTTCTACTTCTTTTTCCCCCAAAGCCAATTTACCTCCAAAGCCAATCCCCTTCCTAGCACACCTAGGGAAATAATTGGAGCCCCCAAAGTTCAGGAGTTCACCCCTTGCCTAAGACCACCCCCCATTCCCGCAGAGGCAAGATGTTACCATGAAAGGAAATAACTAATGCCCCTGGGTGAACATCTAGGCCCCAGCACCTGGGGCTTGAATTTGCATGTTCTATAGCTGGTCCTCTGCTCTGTACACAAACTCTCCTTTACCTGCCTGGCTGATTTCCGATCTAAACAAATTCTGCCCAGAGGCCACTAACCTCTCACTGCTACGCCAAAGCTAGACCATTTTCTCAGCTGCAGTGTAGAATAGAATAGGGCTCAAGGGCAGGAGAACCCATGTGAGAGACCTCCTTTGATTCTAGCTATATGAGTGGTAAAGAGGGAAGATGGGCCTCTAGAAGCTACTGGCCCTGCCAACACGTAAGAGATTCTGCCTCAGAGTCACAGCCCACGCTGTGCAGCCCTGCTCAGAGACAGAAGAGCAAAGGAGCCCTGGTAGTTAATACTTGGGTCCAGAAACCACAAACAGAAAACCAAACACCATGGTTGGCTGGCGGTCTAGGGGAGCAGTGGCTCCATGCCAGCAGCTTTAAGAGGGCACAGAAACTATAGAGTGTGAGTCCGAAGGGTAGAAATTGAATAGGAGTGTATAGCCCCCAACCAGGGAGCCTGGGGTCTTACCTACCTGGACAGGCCCTGGCAACTTCTTGGAGGAACATTCTGGTGTGTGAGCCAAAGGGTAGTTGGAATACAAGGCTGAGCTCTGCTGTGTCCAGCTGGACAGTCACATCTGAACCTGTACAGAGAGGAAATGAGCCCTTGGCTATAAGAAGCTAAGGGCTTGGATACATTTTTAAGAATGGAGTCACTGAAATGGAGAATCAGGAGCCCAGGCTCCCAAAGCTCCTTTGATCTTTCTTAAGCAACTCACTCAGGGCTGCTGATGGGACAAGGAGCCCTCTGTACCCTCAGTTCCAAATGAGTTTCATGCCCACTTTACAGCGGGCATGTAAAGTCTCTCTGAGCCTAACCACTACAATACTAGATGAAGCTGGAAGAGACAGGTTCTCTGGACTTGTAGTCTCCTCTCCTCCCTGTGGGATGAAAAGCAATATAGAGGTGGGCTATAGGGACTGTCCATCAGTTAGTCTGCCCTATAGTGCCAGGCCCTATGTTAGGCACTAAGAATACCATGGTAAAGAGAATAGACATGGGATCACCTTGTTCACAGCGTATGTCCTGTACCCAGTGGTCCAAGGTGTGTACTCAAAAATATGTGCTGAACTAATGAATGAGCAGAAGCAATCTGGCAGTCTTTAAGAGTGTGGGCTCCAGGTGGGCTGTGCACCTGCCTATAATTCAAGGCCAGCCTTGGCTACATCATCAGACTTGCCTTTCAGCTACTGAGAAAAGCCACTTTTTGCAACGTCTAAGTTTCCACAGTAACTTTAATGCCAGTCCATTGGCAAAATGTTGCCAGATATGTATTCCCTTTGCTTAAAATTGGTTATCCAGCTCAACTGCTTTTCCTATTTTTAATTGTCTCTGTGTGTGGTGGTAAGAGGTGCTGGGTATCAAACCTAGGATCTTGTGCATGATAGGCAAACACTCTATCACTGAGCTAGATCCCCAGCCTCCTCTTCAGAGTTAATACATCAGAAGAGCAATCACATTTGCTTTTCTTTCTGTAGAATCCCTAATCTCAGCCATCCATAGCTAGATAGTCCCAATTTTTCTCCTGTGCTATCTTCTCTTACATCCAAATAGAATAGATGACAGGAGTCTCTTGCCTATAGCAATTTTTGCTAAGACATCCAAGTAAACCATTTCCTTTTACAATTAAATTATTGTGTTTATTAATTTGATAGAATCCAGTAAATTCTTCCTCTAGCTCTCACTATACTGTCAAGAATAGGAGAGCCAGGTACTGGTAGCTCATGCTTATAACTTAGCTACTTGGGAGGCTGAGATCAGGAGAATCTTGGTTCAAGGCAAGCCTGGGCAAATAGTTCATGAAACTCCAACTTCACAATAACCCCAAAATGAACTGGAGGCATGGCTCAAGCCATAGAGTGCTTGCTTTGCAAGTGCAAAGCCCTGAATTCAAAACCCCAGTCCAGTAAAAAAGAAAGAAAGAAAAGAATGGGCTGGAAGCATGGCTCAAGTGGTAGAGCTCCTGCCAACAAGTGCAAATCTCTGAGTTCAAACCCTAGTACCACCACACACACACAAAAAAAGTAAAAAGAATGTGGGCTCCAGAGTCTAGATTCTGAGTTTGGTACCACCCAGTACTAAAGTATTTAATATCTCTGGACCTCAGGGATGAAAACAGTGATAATCTCATATCATAGAGATTTATTTATAGATCTTGCCAAATCTTGTTTGTATCATATTATGATACAAATATGTATCATATTATCTGGCACAAGATAGTCATTGATTAAATATTCACCTAAATTATTATTATTGTCTAGCAAAGAAATCAGACATTAAATAAGTCAAAACAATTAAATCATTATGAGTCACAGAGGTCTGGCAAGGATAAGGAAAAGGCACATGTATCAGTAAGATACAAGCAATTTCAGGGGGTTATCAAAAGCTTCCTGGGGGGCTGTAAAAGTGGCTCAAGTGGTAGAGCACCTGGCAAGCAAGTGTGAGTCTCTGAGTTTCAAACACCAATACCACCAAAAAAAAGAAAGAAAAGAAAAACCCAACCAACCAAAAAAAAAAAAAAAAAAAAAAAGAAAAAGAAAGGCTTCTTTGGAACAGAAATGTGTGAACTGAAGCCCAGAAGGATGCATAAAAGTTAGCTAAGTGCAAAGAGGTGCGAGGCTTTCAGGAAGGGGGAATCTCTGCCATGAGGATGTGTGATATCTTAGGTGATGGAGGTCACTGTGAGGACTCAAGTGCAGCAAGCATGGGGACAAGCAATGGAGATAAACCCACGGAGGTGGGAAGGACCAGATCCTGCAGGATGTCACTTGCCATAGTAAGGACATCAGGGCGGTTCTTATTTCACACCATTCCTCTCCATCTGCAGATCCTGTCCCCCGTTTCCCCCCATAGGGACACAGACTGAGAGGCTACTCACCAAGGAAGTAGAGTTCACCATCTGGGGACACTGTGGGGGAGGGAAATGAGAATGTCCTTAGCAACTAAGCATCCATACCCCCTCCCCAGCAAGGGCAGAGAGACCCAAAGTCACCCACAGGAGAGGAACACAGACCACCCAGCCTCCTGTGGCACCTTCTTCCAGTGAAAAATCCCGCGAGACTGGCACTATCTGGTCCAAAGAGACATCATCCCCAGTAATGGCCATCCTCCGGTGCGTATACAGGAAGAGACTAAGGCAGGAAGCAGAAGTGAGGACAGGGCCCACAAGTCACACTTCAAGAACCCTGGGTGCTCATGCTCCCTGTGGGTCCCTCGTGTTGTGCTGGTGGTGGTCTGGCCGTGAATACTCGTCAGCCCTCTTCTGTCTATGGTGCCCATGGAGGCTTCAGATTATGAACGAGATCGTAAAAGCTGAACTTCTCTCACTTGGGGGAGAAATGCAGGGCCCTGCATTTTATCTATCTAAGTGTCTTCTAGATGGTGCATGACAGGAATGGTGCATCCTTAGACACTCAGTTTCTCTTCCAGAACCTTAGTTCCTCCGTCTGTAAAATTAGGATAGTAGATTAGAAGACATCTAAGGCTCCCTTCCTCTCAGCTCTGAGATCCTAAGGTTCACTTACCAGCTATGAGACATTTGCCAAGTATTACTTACTCTCTCTGCTCCTGTACAGTATGTGGGTGCTACCATGGGATACTTCATGAGCACCTTCTATGTGCCTCCCTGTGTTTAAAACCTTTACGTGTACTGACTCATTTTAGTCTTTTTCCTTTGGGGGTGGGGGTGGCTGGGGATTGAACCCAGGGCCTTGTGCATGCTAAGCAAGCAATCTACCTCTGAGCTGCACTCTCAATTCCTACATTCTACTCTTTAATCTGGACAAATGGAGGTATAGAGGAGTAAAACAACTTGCTCAGGATCACAATATCTGGATTTGAACACAGGCATTCAGGCCATGAGTTCAAAATGTGGACCAGTGTGATAACAGCCTCTTTTTCAGAAGCCCCCCTTACATCTTGATGATTATATGAGTTAATACATGTGAACGGCTTAGAACAGAGTGATCAAAGAACAGTAACTATCATTATGATAATTACTCTAGGAGACTCAGACCCTGCCTGGAAAGATGGTTCAAGTCCAGCTGGAAGGTGCAGTAAAGACCAACCCCATGGCCCAAACAGGCAGGGCTTGAGACTGTCACTCACGCATGTTCCTGGCCACCGTGTTCCAGGCAGTAGCGCACAAGCCCCAGCAGGCGGCTCTGCCGGCGGTCTCCCTCACACAGCACACCTTGCACAGCCTGATGCTCAGTCAAGGGAAAACAGAAGACCAGGCCAGGCTGCTCCTGCTCCAGCCCATTCCACCATCTCAGCCCTCCATCCCCCCAACTCCACTGAGTGACCTCTGAGCCTTCCTCATGTGAAATGGAGATAGTCTCCCAATAGTCTCCCCTTGTCACATGGGGTAGGAAGGATAGCTGCATATTTAAAGCACCTGGTAGAGAGTCCAGGACCAAGTGAGTACGTAGTAAATACTGGTTTCCTTCTTCCCCTGGTGACTGAGAGAGAGACATCTTCCATTCCACTTCCCAAAGCCAGGGCTGGCATGGAGCTGGGAACTCACAGCTGGGAAGGATATGATGATGCAATATTCCCCCTCAACCAGCGTCTCCTGGATGGCCACAGACTGGTCCATGTTGGGCCCTGCTGAGCAGATGCACTCTGTGGAAAGGCAGCTGGGAGTCTTCTTTGCTCAATGAGTTACCCCTGAAGTAACAGAGCTGCTTCTGAGGGCTGTGGGCAGGAAGGAGGGGACTTTGTGGAAGGAGAGGGAGAAGCAGAGGCTTGGCTGTCCTCCTTTTCCTCCTCCTCCTTCTCCCTAGTATGTGCCTTTTAAAGTTTCTAGGGAGAGGATCCCTTTGCCCCTGGTCAGATCTAAGATTTGTTGTACTACCCTCTGGGAGGGCATCCAGCTGTTCCTGAGTTGTTGGAAGTGGGGGACCTGGGCCCACTTTTTCTGGGGCAGGGCTCTGCCACCCTTTTTAGGGGGAGTAGCATTGGTCCTGCTGGAGCCTCTCTGGGAGAGTTGATGTTCTGTCTGAACACAGTTTTGGGGACATCTCCTTACTCTCAGGTAGGGAGAGACCCATCCTGGGAAGGAACACAGTCCTGTTCATCTTTCCTTGGAGGCGGGAAAAGCGCCCCGCCCCAACCCCGGGGCAACTTGCCCCTCACCCCACCCTGCAGGCCGGTAGCATCAGGCGGAGGCTGGGGGTGTCGCGTCTGATGACCTTAGAACAAGGGTCCTAGCTGTGAACTTACCCACTCACTCCCTCCCGCTCCGCACCTGCTCCCAGTCCCTACTATTCCCGCCTACCTCCTGAGCTGTCACCGCTGGGCCCTCCGGACACCTCTGCCCCTGGCTAGGCCAGGGAACTACATTTCCCAGCGTCCCCCGCGCTGCAGGATGGCCAGCCAGCCTGCAAGTCCCAGCATGCCCGAGAGAGTCTAGGGGACGGGGACGGGGACGGGGACGGGGACGGGGCCGGGGGTGGGGGGGGGACGGGATAAGTGTTGGGGAGGCGTTTGTCTCGCAGCCCCCATTAAGTTGCTAGGTCCGTGCGTAAGCTGGAGTCCCTCTTCCGTAAAGGCTCGCTAACCTCGTCCTCTGCCAGCTAAATCATGGGGCCAGGGCTCCCGACCAGGGCCCAGAAGAAAGCCACGTTTGTCTTTAGGGGAAAAAAAAAACAATGTTTTTAAAAATTTTTCTCCTTAATTCCACTCTCAACTTTTCTCACTCCCCGAGGGACAATTCTAACGTCTACAGAAACTCTTCTTCTCCAAATAACTACCCTGTCCTTGATGGAAGGGGAGCAAGACTGTGAAGAACCATTACCTCCATTTTCCAGATGGAGAAACTGAGGCTCAGATAGGTTAAGCAATTTGACTAAGGACTGCAGACCAGCAAATAGTGAAATGAGGACTCAGCTGAAAGTCTGACTCAAACTCCTGTGCCATTTATATGGCCATGCACTACCATAGGTCCTCCTTCAATCCCACCCAGTCCTTCTTACCCACTTGGGGCTGTTCTAGGATAATGGATGTGAACATGAAATGTGTAATACCTTTCATATGTGGTATTCTGATGCTATCACCAGGCTGTGACAAGGCTTGTATTCCTTAGGGAGGAGAGAGGACATGGCCTCTCTATCTCAAGACTGCCCAGGGTGGACTCTGTTCTTCTCAGCCCCTTTCCCTGGCTTCCATAGCCATGTGCCCTTGGTAGAGGCCTTTGTCCTTTTGGGTCTCATTGACTCCATTGCCCACTTCTAAATTAAAGAATTTGCTCCAGATGGACAGAAGGGACCAGATCAAATAAGAGATTCTAGGATGGTTCTCTCTCAACCTATGGGCCATGTTGCTAAGCTGAAAGCTACCTGGGGACTGGGCTGTCTTCCACTCATCATTCCAGCACTGTTTCCAGCACACAGTGGCCTCAGAAAACATTCATTGAATCAGTGAATTTCTCAGTGAATTAACTTAATGAATACTCCTCTCAAGCTTTGAGCCAAACTGAAGGAGCAGCGGTTGGGCCAAACTGGGGAATGACCTCATGACTTCTAACCTGTCCCCTCCTCTCTCCTTAACCTGCTCTCTAATCACTAATCTAACCTGCATATCAATCCCTTCCAGAAGCAAATACACCTTTTTCTTAGTCACTACTCCTGGAAACATTCACAACACAAATGGAGTTCAAGTTTATTGGAATTTAGTTTCAATGTCACATGGGAATGAGGAAAAAAGGGATTAATTCAGACACTTACAGATCAAGGGGGTGGAGGTCACTGCAGCAAAGCAGGGGAACCCCAGCCCCATATTAATGTCAAAGGCTGGGAAGGAAGGCCTAGGAAAATGGGATGAGGCTGGACACATTTTACAGTTAAAGAAACTCCCTGCAAGATCCTGGGGTCTCCATTGGATGGGGGAAAGGCAGGAGGTCTTCTGTTTGTTTTTTGTTTGTTTTTTCAGACAAATCCAAACCTCTTCCTAGGATTGGGGCTAAGGCCCTGTCACCTTGGAGAGCCTCATCTTCAGGCCTAGGCCTTGGAAGGGGAAGAGGGAGGAGCTTGGAGCCCAGAGTGTGGACTTGATAAATCTTTCACTGAAGATAGAGTTACAGGCATCTGAACAGGTGGGCCTGGGGGCTTATGTGGCCTACAAGGTCTTCCTGGCTACTGTTCCCTGATTATGCTAAGCCAGCTAGGAGAGTGGGAATAGGGGCAGAGCAGAGTGGAGTAACAGTATGGTCTCAGCCATAGCCCAGAGCAGAGGGCTCCTGATGGCACTTGGAGCTGCCTGATTGAAATGGAGGTTCCCATCCAGCTGGGGGCAGCTGCCTGAGGCTGAGGCTTAACAGCTCTGTGCCACAGCCCCATGACACATGAGGGGTCCTTGCCATGCAGCCTACAATGCAACCTGAGCTGGACCATTTCAGCTGCAAGAAGAGATGGAACCATTCATTCTCCCCTTGCCCCTCTTCCAACTCAGTAGAAAGCATTAAAGAAATATGGGCCGAGCTGAGCCTCCCTGGTCCCTTATCTCCCTCCCCACAAGGTCAGTCAGACAATCTCCAGAGAACATGAAGGTCAGGAACAAGGGGGATGTCATGGAGATGTGGAAAGTTCCAGCTGCTGCCTTGGGTTTTGGCATCATGCAGACCTGGGAAGGTGAAATTTGCTATACCCCAGGCAGGCTGGCTCCTCCAGCAGGTCTAGCTTCAGGGGGTCACTGCTGAGCTACCCCCTCCAGGCTTGCAACTTTGAGAGAGGACAGCACCCCAATCCTTGGAGCACTTCGAGCCCACTTCACAGAAGTCCAAGCCCTCAGAGCAGACAGCCACAGCTTCCTGCCCTTTGAAGCAGTCACCTCCTTGGCAGGAGAAAGTAGTGCACATTTTCTCCTAGAAGAGAAAGCAGGAGGTTTAAGGGGTGAATGCTTGGACAGAAGAGAGGGGTGAGCCCCACTGTGCCTACATTACTAGCACCAGTCACCACATGCTAACTGTCACACCTTTACTTCCCAGAGAAGGCAGGTGAGAATGAGACACAAAAGTTTCTCCTGGGAGCAGAAGAGGTACTTGTCATTAGGGGTGGAGTGGAGAGCAAATTATCCTTTGGGTGGTCAGATGCCCTACTTCTGGGAGCACAGCAGGATGCCTGGGGACATTCTGACACCTTCTGTGGGGGTCCTCTGAAAGCCCCACCTTTGCCCTGCCCTTAGGGTGTATGGACAACTCTAACCTGACACTCCTTTCTACTGCCACCCTGAACAAGCACAGGAGCTCCTTGGAGCTTGATGGAAAGGGGGGAGCTGGAGGAGTTGGGCTAGGGGAAGGGGGTTGTTAGGAAAGGGGACCTCTTAGAGAGTAGGAAGCTCAGCTTTGGGGAGATGATGAGGGAGGAAGACCTCAAAGGTAGGGGTTAGGCAGACAAGGCTTAGCAATTATGGTGTTCCAAGAGGTTAAGGGATAGTGAAAATTAGGTTGAGATTTTAGGGCCTATTAAAGGGCACTGGGGGGTAGTGGGCAGAGAGCTCTGAGCTTGTGGGTCACTGGCAATGGGAGTAAGGGATGAGGACAATGGGGAGGGGGGCTGCTCAGAGCTGCAGGCCAAGGCAGCAGGACTGAGTGTCAAGGATGGGACTGTCTTACCAGACACTGAGGCCAGCTCACTGAGTGCCAGGCAGAGTGGCCCTCCAATGCAGCAGTGCAGTGTGTAGGGGCCTGGTCTGAGCACCCAGTTTTTGGAAAGCAGGCAAGGGGTGGGACTAGTTTCATTTCCTGCTTCACAGCTCATGTTGCACCAGGCCACATAGTTGGAAGCATTGAGTTCAATCAGTCTAGTAAAGACAGGACAGGCTTGCTCAAGAGCATGGGGGGACTGCCAGTCCTAGGTCATATCTCAGCTTTTCCTAACATCCCAAATACAGACTCTTTTCTCTCCTGCTCCCTAATCTCTGTCCCCTGCACCCAACTGTACCTGAATGTCAGCAGTCCTTCTAATGGCCCCCTCCACTCCCCTTCACCTAGGGTAGTATCCTGTCTGTTTGGGCCCCATTGTGCCCTGGCCCCACACCTTGCAGTGATGCTCCCCAGGCCTGCCCTCTTCTGTCTGGTGGGAGAGTCTTGCATCCTGGTAACAGGTTCCTCCAAAACAGTGGAAGTTACGGCATGTCTGTGGATGTGTTTGAGCAGTGTAACCCCCATCCCCATGGGTGGAGGGTGTTGGTTAGGAAGGCTACTTACCTGGACAGGAGCAGGGGATAGCTGACTTCTTGTCAAGTTCTGGGCTCCCAGGAAGATCAACAAGAGGACTGATGGGAAAAAAAGGAGAGGGTGTAACCAGCTCAAAGGTCACAGTTCAAGGAATGGTCATGCAATGGTTAAGTGGAAGAGGTATGAGGTCAGGGACAAGAAGGAGCAGTCCTATGGTCCAGCAGTAGGCCTGGGTTAGGACTAGTCACAGCGAAGGTCAGGGTCACTGAGCTGAGGACAGCTACCTTTGAGCAAAGCAGCTCTGTGGCTACTGTTGGCCACAGACATCTTCTAATTATGTACGCAGGAACTGGAGAGAGTGAAGCACCAGCCCTGGATAGCCCAGGTGATGCTGCAGAAGTTCCTGTTATTGCACTATGCAGAAAAATAAACTGAGCCTGGGGAGCAGGATAGATCAACCTGTAGGGAATACGGGGTCCCAGGGGCTCAGCTTTTGCTTCCTGAAAGTCATCCTGTCAGAGGGACAATGTGAGGCAGACACAATGAGGCAGCAACCTAGTAACAGCCTGTGAGAGTGCATGTTGCTGTTGACATGGCAACCGCAGCATCTGAGGCCCAAGGGAAAGCAGAGCTGGAGCAGGTGCAGGGACAGGAAATAGATATCTTGTCTCTGATCTGGCCTCATTTGCCTCCAACATCAGAAGGTGCCTGGGGGTTCTGAGTGTGAGGTTTCTGAGGCAATGGGTTTCCTCAGAGCCCAGACCAGGGAAATCCTGGGTCAGAGAGAGGTCGGAAGTCAATGGCTAACCTTGTCCAAAGTTTCCTTAGGATTCAACTCCACCCTGTCCCTAAATTAGACATGAGTCAAGGGCATAGGGTTACTCTCAGATTCTGGATTCCTACATCTCAGGCTCTGCCTCCCCAGGACTGAGGGATCAGACCAGGAAGTGTCTAAGCCTGAGTTTAAGTTTTTTTCATGCAAGGTGGGAAACTGCTGGGGATGAGAGGGTTGGGTATTATTCCCATCTTCCCACCATTCCCATGGCCAGCGGGTATCTGACCCATCTTCCTGGCGATCATCCTCCATCAGCACTCAGATCTGTCTCTTGATGACAGATGCCAGGGTGATGTGACAGAGAAAAACTTGGTGGTGGTTAATGTACAAATGAGGCCATGCTCAGGATCCAGGATGCTGAGATGAAGCTTGGGCAATAGGGGCCCCATCTGTCTCCCCCCTCCCCCCTCACCAACAGAGCCTCAGCTTCCCCATTAGTCCTTCCCCTCCACCATTCAAGAAACACCTCTCCAAGGAAACATCAGACTCCAAAAGGCTAACAGATCAAGAGCCCAAAGGTTGTACCCAGGTCCTCGTGTTTTTGTGAGAAGAAAGGCCCAGGCCTCTCACATAAGCCCGTTTTTCCCCCTTGGTTTAAGCAGATGAGGCTGGAGGGACAGCTCGAGAGTATGACAGGATAGGCACTCAGCAGAATCAGAAGGCTGGGCAAGGACTAGCTGGTGACCTCCTGGCTAGACCTCTTCTTCAGTCTATGTACCCCTCCCTGGCTAAAATGTTCCCAATATTCCCTGTGCCCCATTCCATTCCAGCTGTAGACCTACCTGTATGCCTGAAGGTGTGGAGGGCAATGAGGGTGCATGCACAAGTCAGAGAGGCTCAGGTGCAGCCCCTGGAAGCTGGCAACTGCCCCTCTTCTCCAATCACGTATCAGCTCACAAAAAAAAAAAAAAAAAAAAAAAAAAGAAGCACAGCTGATGTCCAGATTGTAGTCAGAAGGAGAAAATAAAGCCAGTTGGCAGCTCAGGCAGATCAGAGGACAGGTATCCCAACGTCTCATTGGAATGGGAGGGGGTTTTATTTGACGGGATTGGAAACCTGGCAGGTGCAGAGGACTCTCAAAGATCAGCTCCAAAGGACGCCAGTATCCTCCCAGAGCTCACAGGCAATTCAGGACCTGAAGGATGAGAGGATAGTTAGCTCTCCTCCCAAGGATAAAAAAATGCAAAGGGAGGAAAAAATCTCAAAATTTTATTTGCCCTTCACTTCCCTAACTTATTGGTTACCTTTAGGGTGCTCCATTTGCAGAGGCTTCCCACAGCAACTCACCTCAGGGAAGGGTGAGAGAGAACAAGGAAAGGGATGACCAGCTGAGGCTCCTTGCTTCCTGTCAGAGCTGGGTAGTGCAGAGACTCTGGCTCCTGCGCTGCTCATCTCAGCATCACCATCTGTAGAGGGGCAATCCCAGAAACAATCCCTGCTTCCTGTAGCTTCTCAGGAGTGGCTTTCCTTGCTGAAGATTTAGCTGAATGAACTGTTTTCAGCACTAAGCACCCTAGCAGAGGTTCAAATTCTGTGTCTAAAAGTGAGATTTTTAATTTTATTCTGGTAGGACTGGGGTTTGAACTCAGGGTTTGGCACTTGCTAAGCAGGTGCTCTTCCTCTTGTCCATTTTGGTCTGGTTATTTTGGAGATGGGGTCTCATAAACAATTTGCCCAGGCTGGCCTTGAACTGCTTGCCTTCAGAGCTCACTCAGCCTCCCATGTTTTTTTTTGTGCTGGGGATTGATTCCAGACCTTGTATGTACTAGGTAAGTCCTCTACCACTGAGCTAGACCTAGGATTCTTTAGTCTTCGGATCCAATGATGGACATCTGGAAATTCATAAGCCTTTGAAATTGTGAAAATGTATGTGTATAAACCTTTCTACCAAGAAGGTGCAAGTATCTATCTAATTTTTATCCTAAAGTTTAACAACTGCTGATCTAAATCAAGAAACGGCAACAGTCTCCTTCCCCAATGCAGACAGGAGGCTCAGCTGAAATTCTTCTAGCAGCTCTCATGAAGTCCAGACTTCAAGAAGGTACCTCCAGGTTTTGGGTATGGCTTTTAGTACAGGGTCTAACTAGCAAGGGCAGGGCTCTGAGTTCAAACCCCAGTTCTGCCCCCACCACATACACACACACAAAGTACCTCTGAGGATTCATTCTGTGTCTGCATGCACTTCAGGTAAGAGCTCCTGGTCCCTTAGGGTTGGATGGATTGGCCATATGGCTCTTCCCATCTGCTCATGGAGGCTGCAAATGAGCCTCCTTCTCTCTGGCTTCTGTTCCTACCATCTTATCTCAACTTCATTTTCCAGGTTTGAAAAATCTAACTGGCTCTAAAAAAATATCTGAATGCATGAAATGTAATCAATAAGCCAAACAAGACTTTGCTGAAGCAGGTAGGCCCAGGTTCCCTCCATTCATAGGATGGCAGCAGGACTCCTCAGAACCTGGTCCCACCACCCCTCTATACCCTGGAATCCAAGGCACCAAACTCCTGAAGAGAGTGCTTTGAGGAATGTGACAGCTGAAAAACAGTAGGTCCTTTTACTGCCAATAAAGGTAACAAGGGCAACAGGGAGTGTGAGGGAATTAGTCAGCTGTGGAGCTGTGATTTTTAAAAAAGTAGATACCTGAAAAACAGACTGAGGACCTGGGTGGGAAGAGGAAGGAGGGTGAGGAATAGCTCTGGGGAGTCCTGTTCTGGAGTCTGGAGCAGCTTTCAGATGATTGCTTAAAGGCAGACCTACTCAGGGCAGAGATTAGGAGGATCGCAGTTTGAAGCCAGCAAGATCCTGTCTTGAAAAACCATTCACAAAAATAAGGCTGGTGGAATGGCTCAAGGTGAAGGTCCTAAGTTCAAGTCCCAGTGCGCCCCCCCCCCCCCGCCCGCCAAAAAAGGGCAGACCTTTCTATTTGGGACACCAGATTTGAAAACTGGAGCAGCCTCTTAACTCCATCCAAGATCTTGATTTTCTGGGCTTGGAGATCATTAGTTAAACCAACGATCTTGTAGAAGAAATAGGCAGACAGGACTGCAGAAAGCCCTTATTCTAAAGCGGCAAGTGGGTGAAGTCACTACTGTCCTAGTTCCACTGTGTGCCAAGCTGCTGAGACATGGGGAGGGGTAGGGCTGCAGGCCCATTTCCAAATGGCCCAACTCATTTCTTTATGCAAATAAAACAGGCAAGCCTTGAGGCCACAATTAGCTCTTAGGAGCAGCTTGCCCTCACCACTGTCCCCTATATGTACATGGATGGCTGACTCAACTAAGGGTAGTACTCACCCTGGGGAGATGCTCATTTGGGGAAATGGCAGCAAAGGAGTGGGGAAAGAGGTTAGGTCAGAATTACCTTAACATAATATGTGTGGCATCAGTAAGTGCTCATTAACCTTAGCTGCTAATCAAGGGACATTAAGAACTAAAGGATTGTGTTAGTCCGTAATCCTGGGCTTCAGAAAGACACATTCAGAACAAGGGCTGTTTTTTTTTCTCACAGAATCATTTTTAATATAAAACAAAGATAAAACACATCTCAATCCTGCAATCTGCCAGCATGACTTGTTTCTACAAGATGCATGCTTGACTGTAAGACTACATAGTAAAAGAGTCTTTAAGAGCATTTGGTTGGGAGAAATAGAAAAAGCAGATCTCAGGGAATTCTGGGCAAGCCCAAAAGCTGAGCTACATCCTTGAACACTAGAGCAATCCTTGTCTTTTCAGATCCTCATAGGTCTTCTTGTTCACAACATTTCCACTGGAGTCTTCATACTCTTCCTAAAATGGAAGAGGTATACTTGGTTAGTTATACTCCCCACATCTGGAACCAGTATGGGCACCTAAGCTCACCTGGCCCAATTCCATTGCATACCTTGGTACTCTTGAGATTAGCATTTATCTAACACAGCTGTTCTCAACGAGGGTCCCACAAGAGAATTACCTTCTTAGCTAGAATGGGACCAGTCATGACCCATCCTTAGGGTACCTGAGAAAAAGGGTTCATTCAAATCCCTTCCTGTGTTTAAGGTAAGGAACTTTGGTTGAGAAAGGCTGGCATAAGATAGCAGTTTTCACACGGTTCCAAAGGAGCCTAGGTTTCTGCTAGGGGCCACTGCAGGGGGTGGCAAGAAAGCTAAGCAGGCTGAGCTTCCTGACTTCCAGAGCAGTCCTACTTTATTTTCTACACCAGAATTCAACATTACAGTTGGAAAGGGTTTTGCTGCTAAAAGAGAAATACTGCAAACCACTGATCTGAAAAAGAGAGGGAACCTACAGGCAGTTCCTGTGGGACTTGAGGTCCATCACCACCATACCTCATATACATGTCACTCATAATCTGAGACCTGATGCTTGGAGAATGATCTCAGGACCAACAAGGCCACTGCCTCATCTCTATGAGAGATTCTTCTCTCATTAGATGCTGTTCTCAAAGAAGAAATAGCATATAATATAGACTGTTTATAAATCACCATGGCAGAGCACTCCTTGCTACTTCAAAATTTAAATGGGACAACCAACCTGTCTTAAGACATAAATTTAATATATGACAAATATCACAACTAAATTAGGCTTATACATCAAGAGTCATTTTATAGGTATTGTCACATTATACTTGTTACTGGGATCATCTTTCACCTCCCATGGTGAGGGAGTTCTGTCACTTGATGCCGTCCCCAACACTGTCCACATTAGCACCTACCTCAGTATCAGGCTGCCATCGTTCTGAAGCCTTCTGCAGTTTCAGCTTGGCCCACACTGCAGGATGAGAAATGAGCAGCCATTAGGACTCACCAGTCATAAGCTGAATATACAGCATTATAACATTCCGCCTACTTCCAGCAAGCTCCCCCTGGATGACTCTGCCTTTGTGACTCTTACCTGCCCCAAACTAAATTCTGGTTTTGGATCACCTATAGACAAAACATTTATTACAAAATTTACTATGATCTTATTTTGCTGTAAAAGAAAAGGTGGATCAAATGTAACGAAACTACTGGGCTCCAGTGGCTTACACCTGTAATCCTAGCTACTCAGGAGGCTGAGATCAGAGGATTATGGTTGGATGCCAGCCCAGGCAAATAGTTCTTGAGACCCCAGCTCGAAAAAACCCATCACAAAAAAGGGCTGGAGGTATGGCTCAAGTGGTAGAATGGTAGAATGTTTGGCTTTGCAAGTGTGAGGCCCTGAGTTCAAGTACCAGCAAAAAAAAAAGGAAAGAAAAAAATCATAATCCAGAACAATGGAATAATTAAATAATAAAATTATAAGTCAAATCCATTTAAGTAAAAAAAAAAAAGTCAATAACAGTTTATATGACATTACTAAATCCCTCCCACCAGGCTAAAATCTCCTAAGGAAAGAGAAAATAAAAACTTTTCATAATGATCTAAAACAAAGACTTGGTGTGTCAACAGTGACCTCCCTGTCCAACAAGTCCTCGAGTCATAGCTGGCTGAACTATGGATAGCACACACCTGACGCAACTGTACTTACCCACTGTCTTTCCCAGTACTAGAAATTAGGACACTGAGTAATCTAGGTAATGGCAGACTGTAAGAACTGAAAAAGGTCCTACAGAGCAAGGGCAAGAGTTGCCCTCACTGTGAACTAAGGTTAGAAAACATAACATGGAAAAAACTGATGTATGAGAGTAGCACAGCTGGCGTGGCTTATTCTCGCAAGTAGAATGAAGGGCACGGAGTTAGTTTTAATAGGATCTCTCTGGGTTTTTTGTTTTGTTTTGAGACAGGATCTCACAATGTGGCCCAGGCTACCCTCGAATCCAGGATCTTCCTGTCTTTACCTCCTGAGTGCTGAGATTTCAGGCATGCTGTAGCATGCCTGGTGGATCATTTTATAACCAAAAATCTATAGGTTGTCTAGTTTAAATTCTAAAAGAAATCTAAGTTTAATGAAAAGAATGATAAGAAACAAAGAAAAATTGTAGCATCTCTCTGTAACATTAAAATTAAGTTCCCCTCAGTAATCACTAGCTCTTACTCTTAGGGAGACTCTTGAGATGAGGTCTGTCATTCTTGTGGGAGGCATTATCAACCTGAGATGGGAGCCAAAGGACAGCTAAGCAGCTGAACAGGGTGCTAAGAACAACTGAGAGGAATGCCTATAATTTAAAAGGGCAGCAAAAACGCTCTTTCTAACTAGACCAAAGTGAAACACAACAGAAGAGATGAACTAGAAAGACATGGAAACTGGGCAGGTGGCTCACGCCTGTATTCCTAACTACTCAGGAGGCAGGGTCAGGAGGATCATGGTTCAAAGCCAGCCTGGAAAATAGTTCGCAAGACCTTATCTTGAAAAAAACCATCATAAAAAAGGGCTGGTGGAGTGGCTCAGGGTGTAGGCCCTGAGTTCAAACCCTAATAGAGAGAGAGACAGACAGACAGACAGACAGAGGACAGAGAGAAAGGCAGGCAATGAGTCTGCCAAGACGTGAGTGGCAGAAAAAGCTACCAATGCCAGGAAAACCTGACATGTACTTTGTTTTTCTAGGATGTATTTCGCTGCTGTAATTTTGTGAACCTGTACTGTTGCCTCAAAAATAAGCTTACTGAGGCCATCTCTGTTTTCTTCCTTTACATTAGTGGTTCTTAACATATTAAAATTAATTCAGAAAAATATACAACCATGCACTCAAAATCTTCCATCAGAATAGTTCACAGACCCGGGCTGAAAGCAGTTTTTGTACTCAGCATAAGGTTCTTCTCATGGGAAACACAATCAGTACTACTCACTAACCCTCCCCTCAAAAATGCAGAAGTTATATGTCTGCTCTGGTTTTTATTTTTTTATTTTCTTTTTTGCTCTGGTTTTTATATATCTACAACTTATTGCTGTTGGGTCTATGCACACCGTTTCATTGAGACAGTGAGCTATAAGAGTGGCCATGAGGTCCAGCCTAGGTAATAGTCAACAAGTTTACTTACAGGAGACAGCATCTTCTATCTGTGTCACATTAGCAAAGTGGGCAGTGTTAGGGATGCCCAAACACCTCATGCCATGAGCATGACGCCATTCCTGGAAGAGAGACGCAAAAGTACAATGTGAAATGGGAATAGCTAAAACAGCACTAACTCCATTCTACTCACAACCCTAACCTGACCCTTCGCAAGAATTCATCTAAAGGCAGCATTCCTTTTGTGCTTTATGTTTGTAAACACCTGGCTATGACTGACAAAAGGCTGGTATTTCAAAGCGGCATTGCATTGTCTCGGGTTTATAAAATCTAAATGCTAATAGTATTACAGACGAAATTTATAGTAAAGACTACAAAAACACTAAAACTCAAACCTGTCACTTTCCATGCTGTGGGAGAAGCTGACATTTCCCAGCAATCTCCGCCACCAGCATAAGAGTTATGAAGGTAGATTGCTGATGTCTTTGTAAGTAAAGAAGACTGCTGATAAGGGATAAGAAAGGATGGGAGAAAGAGCAGGGAGAGACAGAAGTGGTGACAATTCTGGCTCTTGAATGGTAACTGATATGGTCTTTATCCTGATGTCAATTCCAATCATCTGAGAAACAATCAGTCCACTCAGGGATGCAAAAGAGCAAGCCAAGACAAATTAGCAATGTGTGTTGGAGAGACCACTCTTGGCCTAGCATAAATCTTTTCTATTAGATAAAATTTCCTTCCAAATACTAAGAACTGAAGGCAGAAAAGAAACAAAGGTGAACAGACTTAGTAGAGTACCACACAGATAATGCTTTGTCTCAAGAACAGTTTGATAAAACTGTCATCCCCTTAGTTTCTTTTTTTTTCAAAGAGGCAAAGGCCTGTTTAAAACCTAAAGGATGACTGGCAGAGTGGCTTAAGTATTTGCCTAGCAAGCGTGAGGCCCTGAGTTCAAACCCCAGTACCACCAAAAACAAAATAAAACAAACAAAAAAAACCTAAAGGAGATAGTCAGCTCCTTCATTGGTCCTCAATACTAGCAATGGAGGACAGAAAAGACCAGAGTCAGAGATGATCTAAGATGCTAGCAGAAAGACAAAAAAAGAAGAAGAAGAACTAGCAAGAGAAAACTGGAATGAGAGTCATATAGCAAGAGGAAGCAGCCTCTGGAAACAGAGGTTAGCACTGGGACCAAAAGCCGAATGTCACAGGCTTCTCTGATTCCCTTCAATTCTGGCACTAGCGATCCTTGCTGGAGGGCTGCTCCTGTCCTCTTCTCTGATAGTCTCATGTGTCTACATCAATTTCCAGATGAAATGGCTTTGAATTCCTTACAGCAAAGTGCCGCTGGAAGGCCTTAGGCCCTCGGTAGGTGTAGTTTCCACAAATCTCACAGTTGTAGTTGATATTTAGGCCATGAAGCTTATACAGCCAGTAGGGAATGGGCTAAAAGAAACCAAGTAAGAAATTGCATTAGTTTACTATGGTCTGCATGTGCTTTCAAAGTGAGGAGTGGAGAGAAGGTGGCAGTGTGGAACTCACTTTGCCATCCCAGCCTAGGGGCAGGTTTTTGGGATTATAAATGATCTCATTTTCTTCATCTTCACTTTCGCTCTCACTAATCTGTTCTTCTTCCTCCTCTTCTCGTTCTTCTCCTGTCCTGGCTTGCTTGCGTTGTACATTTTCATGAGTGAGTTGTCGTTGTTCCTAAGTTAGATCATAAATAAAAAGGCAAGTCAGAGCAAAGATGTGCAGAACACAAAGAGAAATTTCCTATTTTCCCATAACCTTAGCTGACGTCTCACTTAAAAGGATAAGGTTCTTTGTTATAGAATAAGGGAAAGTCTTGCCTTTGTATCAGAACTCCCTATCAGCAGGCTCTACCTGATCCTAAAGAAAAAAGTTAAAGGTTTTAGATCACTAGCCTAATTACTTATCTGAGGCTTCAGACTACCACAGAACAGAGAACAGCCTTATCTCTTCTGCTTCTCACATATTTTCTGAGCCAGTCTTTCTTCTCCTTCCTGATGTTACGGCCATCCCCAAGTGACCACTTTTAAACTCTCCCAGTTTCTCCATTCCAGTCTAGTTTCCATTTTGCTGGCAGATTTATCTGTTCATAAAATCAAATTTAATAGCACATTCTCCTGTCCAAAGAACTCTTTATTATAAACACACTCCCCCACCCCTCACCAGTGTTAGGGATCAAACCCAGGACCTCATACCAGGCAAGCTCCCTACCACTGAGCTACATCCCCAGCCCTCAAAGAACTTTTACTGCCTTCCTACTGTTTATAGGACAATTTTGCTTTGTCCAAATTTCTAACATAAATCTCCAAAGTTTTCTCTGACCACTCCATCCCTCATAAGGCCCAGCACAAACCACATTTCTCATTTCATAATGTTATGCCTTTGTGGTTGCCTTTTCCTCTACCCAAAACATTTCACCTCCTTCTTTCTGCTTAGCAAACTGAAACTCAGTGTATTAAGCAATGTATTACATCACATTGCAATTTTTCTCTCTTGACTACAATGTGGGTTTTTCAAGGGATGTTACACATTAACTATTATATCTAAAAATTTAGCATAATGCCTGGAACCAAAGGACAACAATAGATGCTGAAAATGGCAAAAATCTTATCAGTACCCAGTACAAGCAATGTCTGGAAATCATACTGTGGAATTTGTTGAAATTTCATAGAAAGGTGCCACCTCCTGACCAGGAAAGCAAAATGCTCTTAGAAAAGGGAGAAAACAGTGGCAGACCTCGTACCAAGGGCATGATGCCAAAGGCTTCCCAGCCACGTTCAGAGGTTAGCAACTCAGTTCTGCCACACCCCAAGTTCACTATAGAGAATGTATATCCCCAATGTCTAATGTCTGACTAGCCTTTCCCTATAAGAACTAGAATATGGGGTTGGTCCTCGAACAACCCCAGACCCATCATGTCCATGGCAACTGACAGATACAGCAACAAGTTATTCAAGCCAGCTCTCTGAGCCCCTGTATAGGGAAATGCTGAGAGCAGCTGACAACTATATAATATGCAGTCACACCAGAAGACTGGTGTTCTGGAGAATTCTGAGGCATTGTACATTTTCTCTGAGGGAGTGCTGCACTTTCTTCCATCTTCTCTTTCTAAGACAGGAAAGAGATTTTTCCTCCTCCTACTTCTTTCTGTTTGAGATAAACATGTTGGGTAAGTTAGGCCTTTTCCCATCTCCCACCCACCTGTCAGCACCTCCTGAGAGAATATTCAAGGAGAATGCTCAGACAGCTTTATACTACTACTAAGTTTCTCCCTATGTCCTTAACATATAAGCAACACCCTTTTATGGTAAGTCATACCTGGAAAACTGATGTGAATAGCACTTCTTTTACTTGCCTTTTGAGTGTCTGCTTCTTGGGCCACCCGCTGTTCTATGCTGAAGCTCAGGCAAAGAGCTTGCATTATTTAGATACTATGTTGACAGGAGAGTCTATTTTCTATGCCTGGCCTTATGGACATTGGGCAGCCTTGGGAATATCACCTAACAACAGAATAGGAACCTACTGAAAGACCAAAACTCCCAAGAAAACCCTATTTAGTGCTGAACTAGTTTATCAACTACCCCTTCCTCTTTGGAACCTGAAAAAAAAAAAAAAAAATCCTACATGAACTCCTATCTCTCTTACTCTCATAATCTGTATAGTCCTTGGGCAGAGTCAATACTCACCCCAAGAATCTCCACATATTCATAGATCTGGGCTTCTAGGAAAGCAATGTCTTTGTTCCTCTCAGTGTCTCTAGGAATAAGAAACAAGCTGTATCGTTGAAAGATCTTTCTTCCACCTGAAGCTTTGTTCTCTACGTCTAGGAATATTTATTCCATTATTGCATTAAAAATTACAAGCAATTTCTCATTAAACATCAGGATATGAAAGCAAATGCTATTTATCTCAGAACTCATGAACAGAAGTCCTATAATTATCTTTCAGAATGCATGGAGGCTTGCTCTTTGACCTCACCTACGAGGTAAAAGATCTATCTAGACCATTTAAATTTCCATTATCATAACCTACAAAGGAAATGTGATATAGAAGAATGACCTCTGCAAGCAGGCAAACCTGGCCAAAATCCTAACTCTGTTACTTAGTAACTGTAAGACAGTGTCACACTTTACAACTTTTCTGAGTCCATACCTATAAAAGTCAAGATAACTCCTTCTCAGCATTTTGAGAATTAGGAAAAATACCCTATAAAAGTATGTGGTTCAAGAACAGATTCCACTGTCCTTAGAAAAATATAAGCTTAGGAAAGTATTTTTTTGAACTTATTTAGCCTCTATAACCTATTAAGGTAACAACAGGCACATAGGACACCATTTCAACATCAGAAACTTCACCCACTCTCACTCCCCTGAGCACACATTGTTCTTAGTTTACATGAACAGTGATGCCAATAGCAGTGATGAAGAGCAGACGGGATCTCTATGAATCAGTATTGGTAATAAAGTTGGCTTCTGTTATAGTAAGATTTGTCATGGGCTGAAATTTAAAAACCATAGCAGAAATGTTACCCCAGTCACTCACCGCTTAGTACCCTTTGATTTGGGATTTTTGGCAAACAGAGAGGTGTCAAGTGACTCCAGGGACTTTCCTTTGGTGCTGAACAGCCTCTGGGCTCGCTCTTCTAGTGTCCTAATAGAGACAAGAAGGGATTTCAGGGTCTTTACTATACAGCACTATTTTTTTTAGTGTAAAGTGATAGAAAATAAAAATCAAAGCCACTTAGGGGAACATGCAAATAGGACAATTTTGATGAAAAAGCCAGTCTCTTACCCGCCACATTTCAGGCCTAAAGCTAAGAGTGCAGATTTCAATCTGTCCAGACCCAGAGAGGCCAACTCCTGTACAAGAAAGACAGAAGTTACAGTACTACATGAGTAGATTTTAGGAAACGACAAATGAAGGCTGGTGCACAGAAGCTCCTGGGGATGTGGCAGGACAGCATATTTCATAGCCTATCCCCTAGCAGGGATTCAAATTCTCCAAGGACTGACACTGTAGTCATGTTCAAATTCACCCATACTAGTAGTATTTCATTACTATTAATGTGGTCAGAATTATTTCAGTTTTCAGTCAGATTTTTTTTTTTCTTGCAATGCTGGGGGCTGAACTCAGGGAACTGTGCATATAAGATAGCACTCTACCAATGAACTACATCCCCAGTTCAATTTTCTTTTTTTGGCAGCACTGGGGCTTGATCTCTGGGCCTCCTGCTTGCTAGGCATGCCTCTACCACTTGAGCCACTCTACAGTCCTTTTTGTGTTGGGTTTTTTTTTGTGTTGAGTTTCGAGAACTATTTGCCTGGGCTGGCTTTAAATCATGATCCTTCTGATCTCTGCCCCGAGTAGCTAGGATTATAGGTGCAAGTCACTGGCGCCTGGCTGGATTTTCTTTTTATCTTTCCATATTGCTTATAGATGCTTATTCCCAGAAAATGTTCTCTTTATAGGTCCAAAGCATTAAAGAGCAAGATGGACAGACCCATAATGCGGCTAGCAAACTTACCTCCCAGGAAGAGAATGCAGAAAGGTCAAGATGGGCTCCAGCATGGGTCAGGGCACTGCTTGTCTCTTTCTGACAATAACAATGTGAAATTAAGATTCAGGTTTATTAAGATGAAGGTAAGGGAACCATCTAAATTACCAGGTGCAGTTACGCTCCTTCCCCATATTGTTTTTTGCTAGTACTTGGATTTGAACTAACCAGCCTCATGCTTGTTAGGCAGACACTCTTACTGCTTGAGCCACTCTGCCAGCCCTTTTTTGTATTGAGTATTTTAGACATAGGGTCTGGTGAACTATTTACCTGGGCTGGCCTTGAATTGTGGTTCTCATGATCTCTGTCTCCCAAGTAGTTAGGATTACAGGCATGAGCCACCAGCACCTGACAACCCCTTTCTTTCTTTCTTTCTTTTTTTGCGGTACTGAGTTTGAACTCAGGGTCTACACCTTGAGCCACTCCACTAGCCCTTTTACGTCATGAGTTTTTTCAGGATAGGGTCTCATGAACTATTTTGCCTAAGCTGGCTTCGAACCATGATCTTCCTGATCTCTGCCTCCTAAGTAGCTAGGAATATAGGTGTAAGTCACTGGCACCCAGCAGCCCCTTTGTTACATACATTTATGTATAAGGATCAAATTCCAACAGGAACGAACAAAAGAGCAGATGACTTGAGGGATACGTGGATACATGTCAACATATCCCAGCTGAGGCAGGACATTAAACTTGAGGTCTACAAAGCAAGATCCTGACTCAAAAAAAAAACCAAAAAACAAAAAACCAACAACAAATGCCCCATTTTCACCATGAAAGATGAACCACACAGCAGCCATGATGTGGTTGGTGAAAATCCTAGGCCTGATCAATGGCAATCCTGTAGTGTACAAAGAACACCTAGCATACATGACAGGAAACACCTCATGGCCAGAGCTGATACCAAGGGATCTAATACCCTGAAGCAGAGGCTCAAGACTGAGTTAAAATAACTAGTTCAATTTCCTAATGTGACCTCCACTTGCACCCTACTGGAGCTCACCGGCCATCCAGGAAAGGTACCATTCTCCCATTTCTTCTCAAACTCGTTCTGAATCTTTCCAAAAAGCTCATTCTGATCTTGAAGGGGCTTCACTCTATCTGTGTAATCCTGAAGGTACTCAAGCAACATCTCTAGGTACCTATAAAGGAACATACAATACAGAGAAAGCAAACAGGGTTTCTATCTTTGATACATTGTTTTGGCTTATAGAATGAGAAAAAGAGAGGAAGTTAGGGCTACAGGATCACTAGCCAGAGACATTATTGGTACAAATATAACTTTGTGTTTAATATCAATCTAGGCACCTCACTTCAGCCACAATCTGAGAGTCTAATTTTTTTCTAATTAAATTCCCAAAGCAGAGGTACCTGAGTAGAAGACTTCCTTCGATAATTAGACAAAATCAAGAACAGTACGGGCGTAAGACTGAAGATGTGCCCATAGATACACATCTGCTCAAGATCAGAGAACTAGAAATGCTTTAAAACCCCATCATTCTCAAATCGGGCTTCCAATAAACCTGAAAATTATTTGTACATGCTTTTTAAGCAACAAAATTCAGAAGTCTGACCCAAACCTTCACATTATTTTCTAATCAAATTCTGTAGAGGCCTGGAAGTTATTAATGCCTACCTCTTATACTCTGCATTCTTCCTTTCTTTAGGAATGTCAAATAACTGGTCAAAGATAGACAGATATGTGATATAATCCAGCTTCTGAAAAGAAAAAAGCAATGACAAAAGACTTAGGTAATTGTACTAAGACACAATTAATCTTCAGAAACTAAGATCAAAATTGAGTGTTCTCTAACAAGTAACAAGGCTCACTTTAGTTTGTGCGTTCCCTTCATTAACTTTCTACAGCAATTAGTCTTAATTCCACTGAACTGAGTATAAGAATATCAGACATAATTAACTCTACATAATTAAGATCAAGTTAATGAAGAGTAATGTATAAGAAACATTTGTTGCATAACCTACTATATGCTAGGTTCTTGGTTAAAGATTTTGATATCCTAAAATAAAGTCCTGGAAGGGATCATTCGTTTATTCATGCAACCACTTATTGAGCATCTTTCTCCCAAATATGGAGATTCAGAAAGGAACGTAACAGGGCTGGCGGAGTGGCACAAGTGGTAAGAGTGCCTGTGGTATGCAGTAAGTGTGAAGGCCTTGAGTTCAAACCTCAGTACCGCCGGGGGAAAAAAACAAAACAAAACAGACAAGGGACCTGCCCTCACAGAGCTTAACATTGATTATTGCACTTTGGGGACATTTCCTCACAACTCCATAAGGAACTAATCATAAAGTTCCTTGTGAACTTTCTAAGACTGTCAAATTAAACCTCATCTGTGATAAGTTAGTTTTAAATGTCTTCTAGAAAAAGACATTAAATAGCCCATAGTATATTTCTCATGCACCTAAAATTGTGTACATCGAACACAGAAGTGTGGTATTTGTGGGGTTAAAAAAAATATTTCTGCTTGGCGAGAACAAGGCCCTGAGTTCAAATCCCATACCGCCAAAAAAGTTTGTTTTTATGAAAGTAATTATCTTTATTACATCAACAAATAAAATGCACTAATAAATAAAATCTGTTTGTTGTATTCACTGTAAAAACCTTTCATTTTGAATAGTTTCATTTGAAGAAAGCTTGCCACCTGTTTAATATTTACACAACAGGAACAAAACACAAGGAAGACATTCTTTCATTGCTTTAGGTCTAGTGGCTTCCTGACTTAGCCCCTAGTATCAGAACCTTTCTCCCCTCTATTAGTCCTTACTTCAGACGCCTTCAGGTTAATATACTTGAGGTAACAGTCATGGAGATCGAGGTAACGACCATATCCTTCTTCATCAGTGAACTCCACCAAGTCTGAAGGAAACATACATGTCAATGATTCAAACACTATAGCCCAGTCTCTTGCCTTTCAAATAGATTGCCTGTTCCAAGTTCCCAAAGGCAGTCCTTCACCCAAATGTACTCCCTATTCTCATGAGGTGAACAGAGCAGATTTCCAGGCCAGTGAATTTGAGCTTAAGGTACCACAAAATAAATGTTTTGTGCAAGGCTATAAATCAGTGAAAACAAAATCAGCATGAACACCTGGCTATAAATTTCTCTGGGGTCCTGTGGGAAAATCTGTTCTCTGTCATTAACCTATACTTTTCTTGGTGCTGTAGAAAAATGTTAAACTCTACTTACTCTGTGCCTCTTCACTTGGATTCTCTCGAGCCTTCAGGAGCTCCTCAAATTCCACTGACATTGGCACACAGATCTGGGGAAAAAGAAAAAAGCTCAGGTGGGTTTGTCACTATAAAAGCTGCAATGTCACAGAAATGGGAAGTACATAAAGTTGGAGTTTGATGCTTTATTTGGCCTTGATTTTTCTCATGAAGAGTGTACTACTATTCTCCAAGTACCTTACTTTCTTTCTCGTCTGTGTATTGTTTGTCTAAGAACTGCTAAAGTATCACATGTTCAGAAAGATTCAAATAATATAAAAGGACGAAAGTCCCCTTTGATTAAATCAAGGGGTGGGGGGTCACCCCTTGATTTGCATGAGCGAAACGTCTATTACCTCTGTACTATTTCAATAAGCAGTCTCTTCTGGTCTTTTTAGCCTTTTCTTTTTTCAATCTGCTCCTTCAAGTATGTACATCTCTCCTATCTTCCTCAGGACCCTCTTCCTTCTCTTTTCTCTGCAAAGTTTCTCTTTCTTTTTTACAGTACTGGGAATTGAATCCTGGGCCTCGCATATACTAGGCAAGTGTTCGACCACTTGAGCCACACCCCCAGCCTTTTTGTTTTTGAGACAGGGTCTCACTAACTTTGCCAAGGCTGGCCTTGAACTTATGATCCTCCTGTTTCCCACCTCCAGAGCAGCTGGGATTACAAGAATGTACCATCACGTCAAATTCACGTTTCATACCCTATACTTCTACCCATTACTCACTGACAGTCTCTTTTCACATTCTCTCTTTCCCAGAACTCTATCATTAATGGTTTCAACAATCAAGTCCATGTGATGACCAAATCTAAATTAAAGCCTTCATCACTTGCATGAGCCTGTTGCCTAATTCTCTCTGCTCATTAGATACTTCTGCCTAGACGTAACACAAACTAAAAATCTACACATATACGAACTCATTTCCTGCTGCAAATGAATTACCTTCTTTCTCATTCTATCAAAGAATAAACAAGTCACCAGTGCCACAGTCATGAAAGCTCAAAGTAATCTCTGACTCAATCTTCTCTACTCCCTGCAGCAAGTCTTGCTCCCACTACCTCCACAATTCCCTTGATCAACAATGTGAGTGCTTAGTGGTTTCTAGACAACTGAAACATAGTCCCTACTACTTATAATCTTAAAACATAGTAAAGCAGACACTCATTGTCACAAAATGTGACAGGATCATAAAGAATGATAAATTTGGAGGGGATGACTAGGGATACTTCATCAAAGAGTTACTCTCAGGAGTGAATCTGATCCCAGTAAAGGCATATAGGGAAATATCAATGAAACCCCTCTGTACAATAGATGCTAAAAAAAGGAAAAAAATTAGAAACCCCCAATATACTTAAAAAAAAAAAAAAAGAGTTGGCCTCTGAGCTGAATCCTGAAAAGTATAATGAACTTTGAAAGTGTTAGTTGGATGCTCTAGATAGATTTTAATAGTTAGCAGCATAAGCAATTTGTTGTTGTTGTTGGTGGTGGTGGAGCGATGCTTGTGAAAGATAAAAAGCAGGAGAAAGCAGGATTGGGATAGGGAGAGCCCATTCTATGATGTAGACTGCGTAAAATTTTTCCTCCCAATCTCAGCCTCCCACGTAGCTAGAATTATAGACATGAGTCACTAGTGCCCAGATTGGATAATTTTTTTTTTTTTTTTTGGGTGGTACTGGGGTTTAAACTCAGGGCCTACACCTTAAGCCACTCTACCAGCCCTTTTTTTGGTGTATGTGTGAAGCGTGCTTTTTCAAGATAGGGTCTCAAGAACTATTTGTCCAGGCTGGCTTTGAACTGCAATCCTCCTAATGTCTTCCTCCTGAGTATCTAGGATTACAAGCATGAACCACTGGCACTCAGCCAGATTGGATAAAATCTTCACCAACTCAATGGGGAATTTTGGAGCAAAGATTACACACTGAAGGAGTCTCACGTAGGTCAGAAAGAGTCAGATCCCAATACACCCACAGTGTTTACTCACTGGCTAAGGGGTGCCCAGGGAGAGTATACTTTGGCTTAAAAGCTGAGGGGGATCTTGAAAAAACTGTCGTATGATGTCACTTATTTATGTTCCTTAAAGCTAAATAGCAAGTACTTTCTTTTTTTTCTGAGACAGGGTCTCGCCATGTAGCCCAAGCTGGCCTGGAACTCTCTGTAGTCCAGGCTGGCCTCAAACTCAAGATTCTACTGCCTCAGTCTCCTGAGTGGTGGGATTACAGACATGTGTCACCATGCCTGGCACAAGTGTATTCTTGAAGGGATATCTAAGCAGCACACCTCTATTTTCCTTGTATCTTTCTTTTAGTATGCTCTCTGGGTAGGTTTGAAGGAAATACTTTCTGAGGCCCTACCTCATTTGGGTGCTTCCGATGGAATTCCTTTATTTGCTTGAGTCTATTATAGAATTCAGCAAATTCATTGGGTCCTGAAATGGCATTGAGCTCCTCCTTTCGTAACCTGCAATTTCAGGAAAAATGCAAAGAACACAAAGTCAGTCCTTTAACCATGACTCCTCAGAACCACTAACTCCTGGAGTGGCTGTGATTGTCACTTACCCATCTTTATCATCATACAAATCCCTCAGGTTCCCACTGACCTCCATATACCTCTGAAAGGCAAACACAAAACATCAGAATGAAGCAATTTTACAACAAGGGCTCTCTGGTCAAAGACCAAGGGAAACCCCATCAGATATGGCTTAAAAGTTCTTGTGTTGCCAGGTGCCAGTGGCTCACATTTGTAATCCTAGCTACTCAGGAGGCAGACATCAGGAGGATGGAGGCTCAAAGCCAGCCCAGGGCAAATAGTTTGCTAGACCCTATCTAGAAGTAACTCATCACAAAAAATGCATGGCAGGGTGGCTCATAGTGGTAAGAATGCCTGCCTAGCAAGCATGAGGCAAGTTGAAACCCCAGTGTGCCACCAAATTTTTTTTTAAAAAGTGCTTGTGCTTTCTAGAACCTTTAAGAGACAGCTTGATTCCCAGTTGGTATCTAAAATAGGCCAATGTGAAGGTTATCAAAGTGCTGTGATATGAGGAGTAGCAGAGAGCTCCTATGCCTACACCAGATGGCAAACCTTTCCTGTAAGATCTTGACTTATCCCCCTTTGGTTGAAGAGAAATTCCCAGTTAAGATTCTTGAAGATTAAAAAAAGAGTGGTCCAAAATGACTTTTTACTATTTCGAAAAGCTTGAATGAGGAGTGCACAAGCTAAATAAAACACTGAACAGCTTCCTTTGGAGTTAAAGTATATTGATTCAGGATGGTACAGGTCATAGTCCCTTCTCCAAAACTTCTGGGACTTTGTGTCAGAATTTAGAATTTTTAAGTTCAGAAAGGTACCATATATTATGAAACACCACACCGCTAGTGGAATCTGGAGCTCTTCACTTCAAACCCCAGCACCTCCCCCGCAAAAAGTTCTCTAAAGAATTTTATGAGTTATTTACTAAGTAGGATAAATAAAGACCATAAAAAGCCTCTCATGGGTTCAGACAGGTGAATTCACCTCAGAGTCTGCTACCAAATACCCTCTCAGCCCCACCCCCAAACAATCAAAACCCAAACCCTTGGTTTTCAGAATATTTTGGATTTGGGAATTTAAAGAACTGGAGGTTTGTAATATAATTACCTCTTGAAAATCAGAAGCTCCAATTAGGTATTTTATTACTTTCTAAAAAAGATTTCAAACATATACAAAAGAAAGTATGGTATAGCAAACTTCCATTTAGCCATCAGCCAGCTGTAATAAGTATCAATACCGCTTTTGATTAGTTCCTTTTAACATAAGAAATTAAACTATTCCCAGGCCGATGCAGTGACTAATTAGTAGCCAAAAGTACTTCAAAACAACGTCCTGGGAGGGAAACACTAATATACAGCAGTCCTTTCTCTTTTAAGACAGAGATAGTATCTTCTGTGCCTGGGACTCCTGAAAACGGTTCTTTGTGTATTCAAGGGGTACAAGGTGCTAAAAGGGGCATCTTCCCAAGCATCGAAGGATGAATGAGTTCCCCGCTTGGAGAAGCGAGGATGTCTGTCCAGGCCGACCACCCGCGACTGGCCAGTCTGCTTACCTTTGGCGAGGGCTCGTGCTGAAACCCGCACTCCCCTGCCGGCTCTTTTCCCGCCCATCCCGCCCCAAAGAGAAGAGGACAGCGAGGCACTCACATCTTGCATGGCTCGAGTGCGATGGTCGGAATTGATCTGGTCCCGGAGCTGCAGAGAGGCAAACGGTGACCCATACGCCGTTAGTTTGGGTTCTGGAGTTGAAAAGGCCGCCAGAGGCGGGGCTTAGCCTCTTAGGTCTCGGCGGCTGAAGCAGGGCGGGCGGGGGTCTGGGGTGCTGGACCCCGGAAGGACGTTTCCAATGCCCGAGCTCCGATGCAACCAGCGAGGAAGGCGGGGATGGGCGCGGGCGGGGAAGGTCTGAGGCCACAGAGACCGCCGGGGTTCAGCACGGAACAGGGGCCCAACCTCTGATGTGGCCCTGACTAGGTCCCACTCACCGTGGACTTCTTAGTGAGCATCTCTTTAGCCATGACGTCCATGAGCCGCTCTTTCTCCTCGTGATACCGCCGCTGCTGCTCCAGAATTGTCTCCATGTTCCCTTCGCCGCGGAACAATTCAGACAACTGACGAAAGCGGAAGCAGCTCCTGCCGCCTTGCGCGCCTGAGTCCCCACGCTGTGCATCCGACCGCACCAAAGTTCCGTGAAAACCGGAAGTGCCGTGGGGACGCAGGGAAAAGTGAACACAAGGAGATCCAGCCTATGCTACCCAGAGGACAACAGTGTCCCCTGCTGGTTGGAGGTGCGAAATGACGTCCGGCGGCTCAAACTCCAGGAGCCTAAGGGTAAAAGGCTGCGGACAGGAATACTTGAGTTGACTGAGTAGTTCAGTACGGATGGGAGTTGGGAAACTGGATCTTGAGTCTCTAGCTTTCAGGGTGACCTCTGTGTCTTTGTCAGTAAATGGTAATGGTTGTGATTTGTTTATGTAACAAAAGTCACATGTGGAAACAACGTCATTGTTTATCAGCATAGGACTCAAAATATGGTACATCAAAGCAGCAAAGTGCTATACAGTCTGAGAAATGAAATCTAGGGCTAGGGATGTGGCCCAGTGGTGGAGAGCTTGCCTACTATGCATAAGGCACTGGGTTTGAGCCCCAGTACCAGAAAAACAAAACAAAAACAAAAACGCAAATCCCCAGTCCACTTTTACGTAAAGAAATGAGGCACGTCCACATGTTCATATCAGCATTACATAACTAACGAAAACTGGATGTGACCCTTGTCCATTAACTGGTAAATATAAACATAATGTGGTAGTCTATACAATATAATCAATGGAATATTCTTCAGCAATAAAGGAATGCAACAAGAATGAACTATGAAAGCATCACACGACACAAAGAAGACCCACGTAAAAATGACATAGTGTATATACGGGGAGGCAAATCCATAGAGACAGAAAGTAGAGGAGTGGAGTTTTTTGCTTCCTTTTTTTTAGTGGGACAGAGGTTTGAAATCAGGACTTTCAGCTTTGCAAAGCGGGCACTCTACCGTTGGCGCCACACCTCCACTCCATTTTACTCTGGTTATTCTGGAATGGGGTCTTGAGAACTGTTTGCTCCAGCTGCCCTCAAACCTTGATCCTTTGTATCTCAGCCTTCCAAGTAGTTAAAATTACAGGCGTCAGCCACCAGCGCCCAGCAGATGAGTGATTTTGTAACTGAAGTGACTATAAATGGGTCCAAGTAATCCTTTTTGGGGTGAGAAGAATGTTCTAAAACAGAATTGTGGAGATGGTTACACAACTCTTAAGTTTGCTAGAATTAATTGAATTAAAATGAATGAATTTTGTGGTATATAAATTATACCTCAATAAGGCTGTTTAAAAAATCTGTAGGAACTCATATGGAAAGATGGCCACACAAAGGGAAAAAAGCGATATGCCCAACAGTACATAAAAATAGATGTGCAAAGAGATTATTTCTGTAAGGGTATCCATGTACCAGTAAACATTGGTTGTTACCAGGGAGAGTGCCTTGGGGGTCTGATATGGAAAGGAAATTTTTGTTTATACCCAAAGTACAGAATGAATTTCTTCTTTCTTTCTCTTCTTCCTTTTTTTTTTTTTTTAACATACACGTGTTACTTTTCTTTTTCCCTTCCGCCTTGGGGATTGAATCCAGGGCTTCCCATTTCTCTACTACTTGTGTTATGTCCCCAGCCTTATATATTAGGTTCTAAACTTAAAAATAAATTGGGTTTGAGGTGTTAAATGTAAAAAAAAATGCTTATACTGAAATAAATGAAACATTTGTAGCTGTAGTTTCTCTTACATGGGTAAGTAGAACACGTAAGCAACACCATTCTGGCACTCTGGCTCTAATCTGAAGCCTTCCATTCCCCACTTCTCCATCCGCACACTCCCTCAAACCAGTCACCAAGTCCCATCTTTTCCCCTCCTGCCGCTACCTGCCTTTAACCTCTCTCCTGGGCCATGGCCCACTGAGCTGGTGTCCTAACCAGCCTGCTCATTTTACCCCTCCAATCCATTATTCATGCAACAGCCAAAATGATCTTTCTCAAACTCTGACCCTCTCACAACCCTGTTTAGACATTTCCATGGGCTGCTTTACCCACAGGGTGAGGTTTATTTAACTTAGTATTTGGCTGCTCAGGACCTGGACTCTGCCTACCATTTTAGTCTCTTGGCACTTCCTCTAAATACAATTACTTGCTGCTTCCCCAAAGCACCATACGTTTTCAAAAGGCCTTTCACCAGCTGCTTTCTATGCTTGGATCGCTCTTCCTCAATAACTGTTTATTGAACAAGCGGTAAGGGCTGGGAGCTGAGCAGGAGGCGTGAGCAAGGCAGCGCCAGCCCCGTTCTCAGGCTGGATGGAGAGAGAAACAAACAAAAATGTAAACATACAATTTATCAATTGTAAGTACGCACGGTAGGCGTTCATAAACGTTTGTTGAAAATGTCAGTCACGGTCTCGCAGAGTTAAGGACTGGGATTGGATCTGCAGGCAAAGTGTTTTAGAATCTTGAATGCGCTGATGACGACTTTCGTGAATGTGAGCAACTGACTACAGGAACCTCCCCACCCCTGCAACATGGTAGCAATGCTTGCTCAGGGTTGGGGATTTCATTCGATACATAGAATCTCGCGGTTTCCAATGGGCGGCGGGTCCCCGCCCCCACAGCCGCTGCAGCTAAGGCCCGCGTACCTGCCGCGACATCCAGACAGGCCAAGGCAGCCCGCAGCCGCCAGTGGGGCAGGAACAGGGGCGTCCGATGCCGGGCAGGGGAGCGTGCTCCGCCCCATCTCCCCACTTCGGGGGACAGCCCCCCTCACTCATTCCCGCCCCCGCCCTTGAATCACGGAGGCGGGGCCATGACCCATTCATGCTGGGAATCGGATCCAGATGTTCCCGCGGCGCGTGCAGCTGCATCCTTGCCTTTTTTGGCAAAAAAACGTGCCGCCGCACGAATCCCGAGCCGCCCCCACTAATCCTTGGGAAGAGGGCTGAGGGTCTGGGCCCAACTGAGGATGTGGACCCAATGCTTGTACTTGAGGGATTAGGGCGGCGTTGTTAAGGGAGGGGTGCTATGAACCCCACTGCCGCCTGGCTCCTGTCGGAAACCTCCCCCATGCCCTCCCTTCCCCATTAGGAGGAAAAGCCCTCTGCCAGTAAGGGAGTGGGAGGTATGCGGGGAAGGCAGGCCAGTAGCTGTGGTGGTATCCCCTTCCTGGAGAGACTCCCCCCACCCTTTTCTCCCGAGGTCTAGAAGAGCCTAAGTCTGCAAAGCAACCTCTGTCACCCTTGGACAAACAATGGCATGAAGGCCTGCACTTCCTCACACTGCTTTATTGCAGAATCTGGAAGGAGCATGAGCTAATTCCCCTCTACCCATCTCTGAACAAGACAGAGCTGAAATAAAATGAGAAGGATGCGGGTCAGCAGAACCCTGTAGCTTAGGGCCCTCTAACCAGCCAGCCTCAGCCCTGGGGAAAAGGGTAGGATGGGGGCAGGGTCAAGCCTGAGTACTGTCTACTTTTGAGGACTTATCAGGCACCCATAGGAGACCTAAATCTATGCAGAGAAGTCTAGATTTAGCGGGGCCTAGATCCCAGAGTCCAGGTTTTGAAGGCTGGGGTTTACAGCCCTGATTTGGAGAAGGGAGTTGGTCTGGGAACCCAGACTATAGGGGAGAGGACTCGATTCTGGAGTCCAGGCTTAGAGATGGGGCTTGCATCACTGAAGCTTCCTAAGAGTCAGGTTTGAGGGTCTTGATCAGGGAGTGCCAGTTAGGGTGTGCTGAAGTAGGGAGACTAAAACCTGGAGCCCAGGGGGAGCCCCATTCTGAGGAGGAGCTGGGTCCCAGAGGTGGTTCAGAAAAGGAGCCATAGTCCTGGAGCTCTGGTTGGGAAAGCCCAGGCCAGGAGCCCTAGCTCAGGGCCCTGCCTGGCTGCAGCCCTGGCACAGCACTTGGTCTCCATCGGGCACGAAGCCTTGGCCCACCAGGGAGGTGGAGCAGCGGGCGCAGGAGAAGCAGCTGTGGTGCCAGTGTCGGTCTTCAAAGGACACATACTTGCCTCCACCAAGTCCTGGAGGGAGGGTGGAGGTTAGTTCTGCAGATCTGGGGCACTCCTGCCCCTCAGGTTCACCCAGTACCACATCCATGCTCTTGTCTGTACCCTCCCCACCTGTCCCACCTGTGATGGGGCGCTTGCAGCTGCTGCACTTAGGTGCAAAGAGTTCTCCAAAACAGGCCACACAGTAGGGATCGTCATCCCGTGAGGTGAACTGCTGCCCTGCCAGGGGCGTCTGGCACCCAGTGCAGACCAGGCATTCTCGATGCCAGGGCTGATCACGGTATGTCACTCCACCCTGGGTCAGCGTCTGGAGGGGAGGGCGGCATCCATCAGTGGAGAGAGTGGGGATTCCCACCCAATAGCAGGCCTTACCCCTAGCCCGCTGGCCTGGCCCCCACCTTGCTGCAGCGGGCACAGCGAGGAGCAAACTTGTTCTCATAGCAGGGCACGCAGTAGTGAGCGCCCTTGTCGGGCACAAAGGAACGGGAGCCCAGTGGCTGCTCGCAGCCACTGCACAGGAAGCAGTGCTCATGCCACGTCTGTCCACCGTACTCCAGCTTTCGGGATCCTGTGGGGAACAGGAGTCTACTCAGAGCTGTGTCCCAAGGGTGACTCTGCTAACCCCCTCCCTGTACTATTGTCACTGCTCCTACAGCTTTGGCAGGGTGGTGTCCATGCACATGCAGCAAGACCCCCACCATGTACACTGAACGTGCAAAGCTGAACATGATGGCTCAGCACACGCTAGGCACATGTGTTAAGCCTCCACATATCTTAGATAGGTCTATTTTAATAGTCATTGAGTATCCATGTAATAAGCATGTTTTCTCAGTACACGCTAAGTCCTTTAACACACATACAAGATCCCACATATTATTGGGGCAAACAAATCTCTGCTTACACAAGGTTCTAATGCCCTGGGCATGACATGTTTAGTATACACTAAGCACTTGCATGACACTCTACACATGCAAAGTCCCCACATGTCTATCAGGCATGCAGGGCCCCACAAATGGTAAGCCCTTGATTTGCTGTCTGTGCACACTAAACCCCAAAGTACCAAGCTTGAGTTACAGCACCCCCTTAGCTCCAACATGTACCAAGCATGCAGGTACATGCACCATACTTGTTAAGTCCCTAGGTGAGAATCAAGTGTGTCAATCTACCCAAATATGGTAAACCCTAGGTGTATACCAGGCCTACTTGTCTGGCACACACTAACCCCTGAGGAATGGACCAAGCTTGTCAGTTTCTGCACCTGCCAAACTTTCATGTGTAGACTGGGTGTGTCAATTCCTGGGCACACTAAGCTCCCAAGAAGACACAGGCACAACAGATCCTGCACACGCTATAGATTTCCAGGAACATACTGTGTTTGCACGTCTCTATCCACACCAAGCACAGGTGAAGACTCTGCAGAGTTGCCAGGCATGCCAGCCCCTAGACAGGATGAGTCCCTGGGACATACCAGGCATGACGGTCTCCCCACAGGCAGAGCACTGTGAAGAGAAGGCGCTGCAGTAGCAGTCATTGCACAGCAACTCGCTGTCCTGGCAAGTGAAGGGTTCATCAGCTAGGGAGCGTTGGCAGCGGCAGCAGCGGAAGCAGCCCTCATGGAAGTGGCGGTCCTCATAGAACAGCTCCTGTGGGGGTACAGCAGGGGCACTGGAAGATCCATCCTCTGCCTCCTCCCACTAGCTTCCACCCATTTCCTGCTCTGCCTAGTGTGGTCCTTACCCTCGAGTCATGCCCGATAAGCTGCTGGCATTCGGCGCAGGTGTTGGCAAAGGTGTTGTCATAGCAGGGCACACAGTAGGGGCCACTGTCTGTCTGGATATACTTGCGTCCATACAGGGACTCGCTGCATTTTGCACAGTCAAATGTCTCACTCATGGTGGCAATGTGAATGAGCCCTGTTAGGAACACAAGGTGGGGCAGGGTTCACCCAGGGGGCTCCTTGTTTGACCCTTGGCAAGAACTCTGCATTATAAAAAAAAAAAAAAAAAGCAAGATACCAGGTATAGGAAATGCCAGATCCTAGCAGGTAGGGCTGGGAAGGAGTCTTCTGAGAACCCAAAAGTCCTGCATATTTGTTTCTGTATTTGACTATGGGGGGTGGGAAGGGGTCAGGAAAAAATCAGGAAGCAGAGTTGTTTTCTTATCTAGGTCCTGGCAGATCTGGGGGGAAGGGGCTTTTCCTGGGTCAGTGACTCATTTCCTGTCCTAGCCTGAGTTTAGCCTTCACTGTCCCTCCTGTCCCCAGGGTGGCAGGGACAGGGAGCCACCCACACTACCTCATATGGACAACAGACTCACTTTCTCCTGACTCCCAGGAAGGGAGTATAGATAAAGGAACCTTTACCTAGGGCTCCAAGTGATGAAAATGGGCTGTTTGGGGCAGGAGGTGGAGGGGGTGGGGAAGTATTCCGATCCAGGAAATGGCAGAATGCTATAGAGATGCTGGACCGTGAATGGTGGAGGGAGGTGTGTGAAGTTGTGCCTCCAGTCAGGAGAATCAGCCAAGCAACTAGAACCTGAGAGGCTCAGTTTAGGTTTAGGCAGGAAGGAAATCCTGCAAGCTGGACACAGCCAAGCTTTCCCAGCTGGACCCTCTGCCTTCATCCCCCTCCACTCCTGCTGTGTCTCTGGTCACACCAGCCCAGGCAGCCTTGGCTGCAACATCTGCAGCAGCTGTGACAGCAGAGGGCCAGATGTCAGGTTTTGCCAGCAAGAGGGAGAAAAAAGGAAAACTTGATGCCTGGGGAGGCAGAAGGGAAGTGAAGACAGAAAGGGCAATGTGCCCACTCCCACCTCCTGCCAGGCATCTCTCCTGGCAGCCTCTGCAAAGTTCCAGGACCCTTCTCTCCCCTGGGTCATGATCTCTCCCCCTGCTTCTGGAGAGACAGACTCTGTCCACCTTCCCTGATTCCCCAGGGTAAGAGAGCAGAGGCATTAGAGATCTTGTCTCCCAGTCAGGCCTCCTCTTCAGTGGAGAGTAAGATGAGGGGAACCCTGAGAGCTATTGCTGCAGACACCCAGCCCCCCACCAAACCTCAGACACTTTCCATTTTCTCAGGAACAAAGCATGTTTGTGGGATGAGGTCATCCACACAGCTGCCTCTGGAACAGGAGCATGGGGAGTAGGGGTGTGTATGGGGGGAAGTGGGGTTCCCAGTCCCTTTGCTGCCGGATTGATTCCAGTCTCTGGCCCCAAAGTCAGAGCTCCGGGGCTCTGGCCTCCTCCACCACAAAGCCTGCTCTCTAAGGGCTGGGATCTCTGGTGGTAGAGAGGAACCACCAGGACCCATATGAAGGGGATGTTCTCACAGCTGCAGATGAGCCTGGGGAAATTAAGGGGAAGTACAAAAGAACCCACCAACCCCTTTCCCCTCCTCATTAGACTCCACAGACTGGCAGTCCTGAGATTGCTCTGGCTCTAGTTGAAGGAAAAGCCTTTCCCTCTCAGCCACCCCCAACGGGAAATTCTCAGCAACTGCCTTGCTTCTAGTTTGGAGTTCAGACTTGAGGCGCCAACAGACGCTTGAAGCCTGCAGGGCTTGACTTTCTGAGCCTTATGAGTTTGAAGTTTCCTTTCTGCACAATGGGAGAACACCCAGTTCACACTCCAGGCAGAGCATGAGGCTACCAGAGCTGGGGTCTTCAGAGAGGGGACTCCTAGGTTAGGGGCTAAGCTGTAGGGTGGAGGGTACCCCTCCTTCTCAGTCCCTTCCCTGCCACTCAGGCCAGGGTTTCCTCTGGCCCAGTATCTGAGGATTGCCTGGGCTGTCAGCCACTGGGCAGCAGGGGGCCATGCAGGTGGAGTATGTCCATCAGGGAGTGCCCTGGGCCTTTTCCTTCCTTCCTGGCTTGAGCGGAAGCAGCAGTAGCTACCTTTCCAGACCCAGGCTAGCCCTGGATCTGCCCCCTGGGAGCTGCTCAACACTGTGAAACAGGGCACCCCAAATAAGGTATAGATATGGCTTCTGCTTCCTTCCCAGAATCCCCCAATCCTTGAGTCTGTCCAGCTGGACTCTGGTGAGGACAGAGTGAAGGGCACCATCAAGACCCACCTGTTTCTGCCTGTCCTTTTCCCTCCCCCTTTCCCTGGCAAGACTAGGGGACTGAAGGGGTGAAGAGAGTTCTGTATTCCTTCCTGGCTGGTGGGGGTGGGATTCAGGGGAAACTGCTGGATTTGCCAGATGGCTCTCATCCCATCCCCACCAACACACACACCTTACTCCTGGCCTAGACACACACACACACACACACACACACACACACACACACACAGAGTAAACCTGAAGCTCAGAATGGCTGGGTATCTGTATAATGTGAGTATCTCGAGTCTCACTCAAACTGTAAAATAAACCTGGGTTTGAATCCTGTCACCTTGGGCAGGTCACTTAAGTGTCCTGAGCCTGTTCATCTCCCTAATTAGGTGAGATGATTTTACCTCCTAGGCGGTTGTCAGGCCTAAATGTGATGATTCTTGTAAAGCACCTGGCAGATAAGTCCTCAAAAAATGGTAATCATTTGTCTTTTTACTATGAGTCCCTTGCTCATATTGGAGTCAGACAGCAAGTCTCAAGAAGGCCTGGGTAGGGAGCTGGCCTGGGATGAGATCTAGACATTATCAGAGTAGGCCCAGAGAGTGTACAGAAGGTTCTATGCCCCTGGGTCTGCTGAGGGGACTGCCAGGACCACCAGTGGCTCTAGTTCAGTCAGCTTTACTCCAGTAAGCATAACTCTGAGACCTCACAGGTACACAGGTATATATACACCTGTATGCTGCTTTGCCCCTCACAAAGTACCTTCCCACCGCCATCTCATCAGATCTCACAGAAGGCAGCCAGGATAGAGTGTTCTCCTCATTTTACAGATGAGGCAAGGAGGCCAGCAACAGCGCAGCAGCATGGCCAAGGCTGCTCAGGTATCAGAGCTGAAGTGTCCTGCCTTTAGCCCTAAAGCCCTTTTCCTGCTTCCCTCTCCCTAGAAATGCTTCAGTGGTGGTGGAGAGGTGGTTAGCTTTTCAGGGCAGGGGGACAGGAGATACACCAGAGCCTGGCTCTCCTCCCCAGCTGCCAGCCCTGGGATTGGAAGACACCCAGAAGTCTTTCCAATTACCCATGCCAACTGCTCAACCCTTTGTCCCCCCTCCCCACTGTCCAGAGGACCCTGGCCAGGCCCCACAGCTGTGAGTCAAAATCAGAGCAGATCCCTCCCCCAACTCCCATGAGTTGACCAAAGACTTAAGGAGAGAAATCAAAGTCCCCCACCCCCCCATTATCAGGCACCAACCCCAAACTCTGCTCTCCCTCTCCTTCCCCCACACGGCCTGGAAGTCAAAGCAGTTTAGGAGAAAGGGGGTGGGGCGCAGATCCGGCAGCTGCTCCTGGGACAGGAGAGAACAGTTCATTCACCCTGGGTCCCCCAGGGCTGAAGCAGCCCTTCCAAGATTTGAGTTTAAAAATAAGCTAGGGCTGTCTTGGTGGCTGTGTGCGCGCACAGGGTTCCTTTTTGATCTCAATCTTAACTGTCTCAGGTCCTCGGCTCCTGGAGGATCTGAAAGTCCCTTTTCCCAACGGCTTTGCCACCCCCCCCCCTTTCAGGTCTGAGTCTCTGGGAGTGAGTCTGTCCTGGAGCTGTCAGCACACCTACGTCTCTCCGCCTCCATTAACGCCAGGCAGGCTCCACTCTGCATCTCTCTGCACACTTGGGCTGCCGTCTTTATGTTTGAGGCTCTCCGTATCTCTGACCGGCTAAACTCTGATCGGGTCTCCACTCTGGGGATCTCTACCTCTGTACACCCAAGTCTTGATCCCTCAGTGGTTCTAAAGGGCTTGGTCCCCACCAATCTTCTTTTTCTTGTCTCTGCATCCACTCCTCTGTGTCTTAGCATCTCTGCCTGCTTACCTCTGTCTCTAAAAATTTCTATAGGCCTCTGAGGCGGATTTAGCACGAGGCTAACGAAGCTTCAGCCTCAGGGCCCTGCAAGGCCCTGGGAGGGGCCCTAGCAATGTGTTCACGGAGATCACACGTTTACTAGGACCCGGGTCCGCCCCATGCCTCAGGTCTGTCGCTCGGCAACTCCAGTGTCCTTGTTTGAATGATCTCTGCAGTCTCCTGTCGCTCGTGTCCCTGTCTGTCTGGGTCTTTCACCCCACCGGGCTTTCTGGGAGCCTCAGTTTTTCCAACACTCCAGGTCTCTCTGGATTTTCTATTTTAAACTTGGCCCCCTCCCCCGACAAACTCCCTCAGCTGCCCCTGCCCCACCGGGCGGCCTGGAGCTGTGCAGTCGGGCGGGCGCTATCCCGGGCTCCGCGTGCCCCGGGCGTTCGCGGTGGGACCCGGCAGGGGCAGGGGGCGGGGGCGCGGCTGCCATCAGCCTGCGGGACCGCCCGTTCCCCAGGCTGGTCCGCGAGGCCAGCACTGATCTAGGAGCAGGGTCTGGGGGCGCTCACCCCGAAGTGGGAGCGGGGCGCGCACGCGCGCGGGGGGTGGTGGCGGGGAGCCGAGTCCCTCGGCCGCTCCTACCTGCGCGCAGTGCAGAGCGGGGCAGAGCGAGCCACGGCGGCTGCGATGGACTGTGTGGGCGAGTGGGCGCGCGGCCCCAAGCCTCCGAGGAAGTGAGCGCGGGCCCGCCCCGTCCGCCCGACCCCGCCCCCGGCCCCCCAGCCCGAAGGCGGGGGCCAGACCCCGCCCCCTCGCTTTGGGCCGCGTGCCCGCCCCAGCCCCCTCCTGTCCAGCCGAACCTGGCTCTCCAACCTTCTCGGCGGCCGGGACCCCGCCCCTGCCCCCTCCCCGAAGCCTCGCGGAGCTCGCTGAGCTCACCCCGCAATCCTGAACCCCAGCTGCGGCGGACGACCGCTGTATTGAATCCCAGGCAAGGGTACAGGACCCAGCGGGCTAGGGTCCATTTGGGGACTAGAGTCCTCTGTCTCGTCGAGTCCCTCCTTTATCTGCCTCTCCACCCCGCTCCCAGTTTACCCCCAGGGGTTCCACTAAATCTGAGTGTTCGAAGGAGACCTTAATCTAGCCTGTGGGAAGGAGGTGGTTTTGACTCTGTCATTGTGGACCAAGGTGTTTTCTGGAAATGTGGGGTGAAGAGAGGTCCTCCCCCAACCCCATTGAGCCTTCAAACAGCTTTATTCCATAACTGAGTGACAAAAGCCTGGATAACCACCAGGCTGCATCCTGGCACTAAGGAGTTCTGCCTCTGTTTCTACAGTACACACATAGGAAGTTTTGACCTCTGAGGCCCAGGGAGACTCTAATCCTTGGCCCCATGATCTTTGGGTTTCTCAGGAGGGGTGTGAGGAGTGTGTGGTTGGGGCGCTGCAGGTTGGTGGATAAGGGAGGGAACCTCTGCAATTTCTGAAACTCTGGCTTCCTCTTTTTGCTTGGCAGGGAGGATTGGCGTCTGCCAGGGACACCAGGCCCCTCCAGGTCCTTGAGGCCATCCCCCCTGGGATCCTCAGGCTTGTCACTAGGAATAAATAGCCTCAGTCTGGAAGGGGGGGAAAGGGAGGGAAGAGGCTCTTCGGAGCTGTTTGCAAAACAAGAGACAACAAACTAACCCTGGTGGTAACCTTATCGTCTCAGTGGAGTTTCGGAACCCACAGAGGCTCCACAACACCCCAGGCTGGATCTAGCCAAGCTCTCACTGCAGGGACTAAGACCCTGAAATGCTGGGCTCCTGAGGATCCTCCTCTCTGTATCTGTATCTGGTTTCCTTTCAAAATTAAATAATTGCTGGCTTATTATTATTGTTGATACCTAGATTGTAAGTACCATGAAGGCAGGGATTGGGTCCTTTTTGTTCATCACTGCATCTCTAGTGCCCACTCCAGTGCTTGGCATGTAATAAATATGAGTAAATGAATGAATGACATTGCTTTAATTTGGACCCCCACCTCCACAGTTTGTACCACTGGCACCTGCTATGTGGAGTCCAGCAAGTGAACAGCCAGCCAGTGGGTGGGCCCATCCTCTGAAATGTGTCTTGCAGGTATAGGGGATTCCCAGCCCAGAAGGATGCAAGGAAGACTACTCTTCCTGGTTGGAACAGACAGTAAGAGGGAGGGTCTGTTCAGGCATGAGGGGAGGGCAAAGGTGAGGCTCATGCCTATAATCCTACTTACTCAGGAGGCAGAGATCAGGGGGATCGAGGTTAGAAACCAGCCTGGGCAAATGGTTTGTGAGACCCTATCTAGAAAAAAACCATTACCAAAAAAAGGGCTGATGGAATGGCTAAAGGTGTAGGCACTGAGTTCAAATCCCAGTACTGTCAAAAAAAACAAAACAAAACCAAAAACGGGTCATGAGTGAGCAATAAAGGTGCTGGATGAAAGAGTCTTGGGATATCTGTTCTTTACTGATGGCTTGAATCTCTGCTGAACAGCTTTATTTCCGAGTTCTTACTCCATACCATCCCTAAACACTTTACATATATATATAAATGCATTGAATTATTCAACAACTTTATTCAATATATATTTGCCCCCATTTTAAAGACAAGAAAGTGGAGTGTTACAGAGAGATTAAGTAACTTGATAAAGTGACACAGCTAATAATAGCAAAGCCAGAATTCAAATCCAGACTGTCAAATGTCAAAATCCCTTATGCCAAAAATGAGCTTACCTATTAGGCTCTATAGCATTCGTAGTTATTTAACCTCTATAAGCCTGTCTCTCAACTGTTGAGCAGTCGTCAACTCTGACTCATGGCACTGTTGTGAGAATAGGATGAGAGCACACCACAGGTCTTCAGTATGTGAAGACCTCTCCCCCCATCCCCTTTTTTGGTGTTAAAGTTCTGCTACTTTAACTTAAGAGTCTAAAGGTCAGAGAAAGTTAGGAGATCTCTGGCTTGGGCCAGCCAGAGGGAGGAAGGGTGGCTTGGGGGCAGGAGAGGTGGGGCTGTGTCTTTTTCCCTTTCCCTTTCCATCTCCTAAGTGGGCTCACATTTCCCTGCTTACTTTATTTTCACTGGCCTAGGAAGACGTGCCCCAGGGAGTTCAGGGATCAGCCACATGGACTCCCTGTTCCTGTTCCTCATCTGTCCTCTCCCCCTCCCTGGGAAACAGGTGTGTCTAAGCTGGGGCTGGAAGCAGAGCCTGAGTGCTAGACAACCGGTCCTGGGTAAGTGGGATCTGGTTGTCCCTTCCCCACACAGAACAACATACCCTTCCCCATCTCATGCTCAGGGTCCTCCTGCTGATCCTCTCACCTTGCAAGAGTTTTCAAAAGGAGGCCCTGGGTGACTGCTGACAGGCCTCTCATAGCTTCCTCTGGGTGCTGAATCACTCTCTGGTGCCTTGCAACCACAAACCTCCTTCCTCCTTGTAAGAGAATATCCTTCCTTCTCTGGGCATTATTGCTCACTCTTACCACTGCAATGCATAGAGCCCTTTCAGGGCTCAAAATTTAGCAAACAGCCTCTTTCAAATTGCCCAGAAACTTCCTTGTGACCTCAAGCCCACAGGGCTATAGAGGTTGAAATGAGTAATTTCAGGGCATGAGGAGGGGAGCAGAGAAAACATGGACAAATGCTGACTGTATGCAGGGTGCCAGGTTTACACTAGTCACTGTCTTCTTCAGTTGTCACAAAAACCACACGAGGTAGTTATTGTTATCATCGCTTTATAGAGAAAGCTACTCAGAGATTTTGATAATATGGTAGTCATGCAATTCCAATCTGGGGCTGACTCCAGGGTCCCCCACCTCCAGTGTATACATATGGCTTCTTCCAGCTCTGCTAGTCAATACTTCTTCAGGGGCAGTGGCAGGAGTGCCTGGGGCTGCCACTTGGTCACTCTGCCTGATGGCTGAGCTTCATAATTGACATGAAGCTAAGACTGAATCATGAAGTAGCTTGTTTTCCAATGGTAAATGACAAACAAGATAGAATTATTTATTTATTTATTTTGGTGAGACTGGTGTTTGAACTCAGGGTTTTACACTTGCAAAGCAGGCACTCTGCTGCTTGCACCACACCTCCAGCCAATTTTGCTCTGGTTATTTTGGAGATGGGGGTCTCAGGAACTATTTCCCTGGGCTGGTCTCACACCACAATCCTCCTGATCTCAGCCTCCCAAATAACTAGAATTACAGGCATCAGCCACTGGTGTTTGCTCAAGATGGAATTTTTAAAATGTGTGTGGCCCTAGTTACGCAAAGATCAAATGCAGAGGCAGGAAAAACTTTTCACAGGCAGAACTCAGCTGTTTTCACCTCTTACATGCCCATTGGTTCCTTGGACTGGTACCTTCAGGGACTCTAACAAGTCTCCTCAGCTGGAGAGGTGACCACTATCCGAAAAACGGGTGCAGTCACAGAACCTACTGAAGGTTCGCTTCATGTAGTGGAAAAGAAACCAAATGCCTCTGGCATGCTTTGCTGTGTCCAACTCTCTGTAGACTTAGAGGCAGGTTTAGTAATGATAAAAATAATGATAACTTCATTTTAATTGTAAACCTGCTAATAGGTGAACACAGCATTAAGCACTTTAAACATATTTCATTTATCCCTCACAATTCTGTGAGGATAGCATTATTACCTCATTTTACAAATGGAGAGACCCAGGCTCAGAGAAGCTAACTTTTCCTTTGTGAGGGCAGAGTTGGTATTGGCGGAGGGTGGGCCCTCCACGGGTCATGGTCCTAACCATTCATTACATGGTACTGCCTCTGACACGCATCCTGTCAGCCAGCCATTCCCTTGGGGGTGTGGACTCAGAACTTTAAAACTACTGCCATTGGGTGATTCCCTTCTACAGATGTAATTTCTCAGTTCTGTGCCCTTGACAGCCCTATGAGGCATGGACTGCATGCTATAATTATCCTTGTTTTATGGCTGAAAAAAATGCTCACTAAAGTCAAGAAACCTGCCCGGCAGAGCTAAATATCACTTAAAGATCTCTATCTCCGAAGAGAGTGCTCTTTCCGGTAAACTAAAATTCACACTGCTCCTAGCTTTACGGTTTTTTTTTTGGCTCCTATCTTTTAAATTGTACCGCGTAAATACTGCAACCGAGGCCAAGCCGCAGGTGACTGCACATGCGCACACGCCAAGCCCAGCTCAGCCGTAGGGCAGTACCAGCCACGTGTTCCCAGGTGCCAACGCGCGGCCGAGCGCGAAGGCGAGGTCTCCGGACGCGTGGATCAGCTCCGACGAATAAGAGCTAGCTTTTCGAGAGTCACGAGGCTAGATGTAGAAAACTACACCTCCCAAAAGTAGCTTGGTTGGGCCGCCTTGTCTGGATGACGCACTTCCGGAAATATGTGATTCTGATAGGCTTTTCAGCGGAAGTGGGCGGTTCCAAGCTGCGAACGGCTGGGCCTACTTCCGGCATCCGGCAGACGCTGCGGCTGAGGCAGTGCGTAACTTGCGTTGTCTTTTAAGCTTTTGCGGGTATGGCGGCGGCTTTTCGCAAGGCGGCTAAGTCCCGGCAGCGGGAACACCGAGAGAGAAGCCAGGTAGGACCGCACAGGGCCCAGGAGCTCTCTCTCGCCCCCACCCCTTGGTTTTCTCCGGAGGCCATGTCCCTGCTGAGCGAATTGGTGTTGGTAATGACGCCGGCGTTGCTGGGGCGGAGGCTGTGGGACTGGATTAGAGCGTGGCTGTTTTCTGTCATGGAAGAGCTCTGGCTGCCCCCACTTCTTGGTGCAAGATTTCAGTGGGTAATTGGGATGATGTGTCAAGTGCCTGTCCTTCCTTAGGAAGATGAGGCCAAAGCTCAGCATCTAATGCCTGCCAGCAGGAGCTGGAACCCACATCCGTCGCTTATCTCGGCCTGCTGCGCACAGAGGTCGTGACCCAAGAGATTGGTGTTACTAATGCGGTATCATCATCATGCCTGGGGTTTGTGGTTCATGAAGAGCTGCCACATGCGTTCTGATATATGCATCACCCTGCGGTGTGGGTGCTTTCCATCCTCATTTTACAGGTGGAAAACAGGTCCAAAGAGTGATCATTTACAAAGACTAAATACAGGTAGAATGAACAGTTGTAGGACTTCTGAGGCGGATGTTTCTGTCTAGAAAGGTTGAATAGAAATAAGTGTGTATGCAGAATCAATTTATCCAGTTGTTTTCAGAAACCACATATCTGGTTCAGAAAGGCCATTGGAGATATTTGGTCCAACTTCATTTTACAGATGGGGAAGAGAGGGAAAAGGCTGTAAGTGTATGTGAAGTTGTGCAGCTGATGGAGAGTATAGAACTAAGGCCTCTTAAACACAGTTCGGTCTTTCTGCTTAGTAGCATTTATGGTGCAATTGCTGTGTTCCCAGTGGGGTACTGGAAGCCACAGTATATTTGCCATCTTGTTTGGTAGCTGTATGTGAACCTGTCTAAAATTCATCATGGCTGAAAGTATTCGACAAAGTGCAGAATGCTTTATTCTCTTTACCATTCAACTCACAAAAGGTATTTGGAAGTAGGATCTATTATTTTCTCACATTTACAGATGAGGAAATGAAAGCTCAGGTAAGTACTCTGCCCAAATACATACAGCTGGAGCTGGCAAGTGGCAAAGACAGAAATCACAGCAGGTGTTTGGAATCCAGAGGCTATTGGACAATGTATAAAGATGCAGCTTTGTAAGAGAAGGTGCATAAAGAATTCCAAATGCAGAATATGTGTAGGAAGGGGAGAGAAGATGAGAGGGCATCATGACGAAACTTGTTGGACTTCAAGGGCAATTTGCCTTTGAAGGCAAAGCTATCACTTTGTTTATGTAGATGATCACTTTGTAGCCCAGGCTAGCCTTGAATTTGTGATCTTCCTGCCTCTGCCTCCAGAGTACTGGTATTACAGGGGAGTACTGCTGAAGCCCATTTTAAAGCTGTCACTTCTTTTATTTATTTATTTATTTTTCCTGTACCAGTGTTTGAACTAAGGGCTTCATGCCTGCTAGGCAAGCACAGTTCCACTTGAGCCAGTCTCCAACCCTAGGTTTTTTTCCCTGATGGTACTGGGGTTTGAAGTCACAGCCTCTGGCTAGCTAGTCAGGCGCTTTACCACCTGAGCCATACCCCAGCAAGCCATTACTTTTTGTACATTGCAATATACTGGGCATAGCCCTACATGCTTTAAAGGATTGTCTCTCAATCCCACAGCATCCCTGTGAGGGGATTGTTATCCTCATTTTACACATAGGAATCTGGGGCTTAATGAGAATGAACAGCTGCTTGAGAGGTTGAGATTAGGAAGATCCAGTTCCAGGCTAGCCTGGACAAAAGTTAGCTTGGACAAAAGTTCTTGAGACCCCCATCTCTGGGTGTAGTGACACTACACCAGCTTTGCAGGGAAGCACAAATAGGAGAATTGTGGTGCAGGTCAGTCCAGGCATAAAGCTAGACCCAACACTAAAAGGGCTGGAGGCATGGTGGAAGTGTTAGAGCACCTACCTATGAAGCGTGAGACCCTGAGTTCAGCTCTCAGTACTGCTCCCCCGCAAAAAAAAAGAAAACCCAAAAACATCCTACCTAAATACAGATTTAAACAGTAGAGTGTGCATGTAGATCTGGACTAGTGGTAGAGTGCCTGCTTGGCAAGTGCAAGGCCCTGAGTTCAAACCTCAGTTCCCTACCCCCAACCCTCCAAAAAAAGAAAAGTCAAGATCCTTTAGAGCAGAAGAGGATACAGTTTGGTAAGGTGTGGGAGCGCACACTGTAGCCCCAAACAGAATAGGTTCAAGTGTTAGCTTTGCCATTTGTTCTGAATTCTTGAGCATATCGTTCTCTAAACCTCATTCCCCTTTTGGAAAATTGGTGTAATTGTGTGTGTTTTACTTTTTGTAATTGTGGGGATTAAATTAGCTTGTGTAACAAACATAGCACATTGCTTTGTAACATAGTAGGTACCTAATAAATGTGTCCTATCGTGATGACTGAAGACAAAAGCATCTAGCACAGATCCCGTCATGTATTAAGCCCTCAGTTACTGCTAGCTTGTAGAAAGATAATACATGATTTAATACTTGTACCCTCAATGCTAAGTCTGTCATAAAAAGTGCTTTCTACCATACTTGTTTTTCTCCCATACTTTGTACCAAAAGTAAAATAAGAATAGTAAGCATATGCTATGCACCTGTCATGTGACATTCCCATGTGCAGGCACTGCCACTTATAGAGGTCCGTTGAATCCTTACAATAACCTTGGGGAAGGGAAGTATTCCCTGTCTCTCTCTCTCTCTCTCTCTCTCTCTCTGTCTCTCTCTCTCTTTCTTTCAGTACTACTATTCTCTCTCTTTTTTAAGGGTTTTTTTTTTTTTTGTCTCATTTTGGCGGTACTTGGGTTCAAACTCAAGGCCTCGCACTTGATAGATAGGAACTCTACCACTTGAGCCACTTTGCCAGCCCTTTTTTTGAGATAGGATCTTGCTCTTGTTGTCTGAACTGGCCTTAGATCTCAGTCCTCCTGATCTCTTCCTTGCAAGTAGCTAGTATTACAGGAGTGAGCCACCTGCATCGGTTCCAGTCCTCCCCCCTTCCTTTTTTTTTTTTTTTTTTTTATTGAGACAGGGTCTTGTTTTATAGCCCAGGCTGGCCTTGAACTTTTGATCCTCCTGCCTCAGCCTCTCAAGTGCTGGAATTACAGGGCAAGCACCACTGTGCTTGGCTTTACCATTTTCATTTTACAGTTAGGAAATGGCAGCACAGAGTAGTTAAGTGACTTGCTAAGGTCACAGACTATGAAGAGATAAAGCTTGGATTTGAACTTAAGTCTCTAGGCTCTAAATTTAGCTCCCTTACCACAGTTGCCTTCTATTACTATGTTTTCCCTTCATAGTATTTTATAAGCCCTTGGATTAAGTTGGGAGTAATTTTAGTACAACTGGCAACTGCTTGCTTAGTGCCGAGTCATTGTTGCTTTTCTCTGTCCTTAATAGGCCAAGAAAACGTACTATGGTGGTGCTTGTGACTGGTCTGGCGCCTGCATGCTCTCTAATCCTTGGGCAGAGCCCAGTTGGGGGTAGGGGAAGGAACACCATAGTGGGTTGGTTCCAAGGACACTCAGATTTACTGAGCACTAACTCCAGAGACTGTTGTTCCCATCAGGTATCATGTTGATTTGAACATGTGTTTGCCGAGGAAACTAAGCACTTTTTCTCTTTTGTCTTCTAGCCCGGCTTTCGAAAACACCTGGGTCTGTTGGAGAAAAAGAAAGATTATAAACTTCGGGCAGAGTAAGTCTAATCTTTCTGGTAGACATGTTGCCAAGAAAGCTTACAACATACCTGTGCTACAACTGAAGTGCCTGTGTCAACCGAGAATAATTTCCTGCCATTGATAAAATGGCCAAAGGTTTGGCAGCCTGCTGGATGACCAAACTTACTCTTTGTTTAGACAGAGCATTATTTATTTAACTAGTTATGTTATAAATCTTTTTATTATGTTGTTTCAGATCATTTTCTCTTAGTGACTGATTTGTCTTTGCCTTGGTGTTGGAACCAAAAGCTGCATCTTTATTCTTTTTCTTCAAGTATGAGATATAATCTAAAATTCCATTTGTTGAGTCTCTTACATTACTATGTGTGTGGTGTGGAATGAAGAGATGAGAAAGAGGGATTCATGAGACTGAGCGTGGGTGATAATGAACTCTGACAACATTTTATAAAAACAATTATGCCCATTCTTCTTTTTCTTAAGCACTTCACTTGCAAAATGCCTATAATTACTTGTTGACCATATTTGTTAGCTGAGGTCCTCTTAATGCTTTTGGTATAGGTCCCAGAGTTGTGGTGTTTTTTTGTTTTGTTTTGTTTTTTTGAGACAGAGTCTTGCTATGTAGTGAAGCCCAGCCTGATCTAGAATTCACCATCTTCCTGCCTCAACCTCCCCAGTGCTGCATTTATGAGATCATAGGGATTCATGCCCTGATGGTCCCAGAGTTTTTGAAGTTAATAGTAATAATTGAATGCTGTGGCTAGGACAGGCAGGGTTTACAATTTTTTATAATTTTTACATTCCTCTATTCCTCCAGCAATCTTTTGTTATACTCATTATAGAGATGAAATTGGGATATAAGGTAGTTAACTAACTTTTCCATGGCTACTTATCCAGAAGTGGTGGGGTCTAGATTTGAACCCACGCAGCGTGGCTTCAAAATCCACTGTTCTAGTTATTCCATTGTATGGTACTGTGTAGTTTCTAAATCCTATTGGTTACTTGATGCTAAAGCTTGCACCAGAACTCTAGCTAAGGAGTTTTAGTTTGCACTTCTTTTGGTATGTGCATGCAATGATGCAAGTGGCACTAAGACATACGTGGGATGGGGACAGTTAATTCCAGTTACAATTGGGGTAAGAGAGGACTATTAGATTGTTGACCCTACAGAGACACCAGTACAATTCTGTGCCAGTGGTATGTGGATCAGATCTAGTCACTGCTTTGGTTTTTTTGAGTTTCATTTTATGTGAACTTTTAGGTTGGTCTGTTTTGTTGTTTGGAGACAGGGTCTTTCTATGTAGCCCAGGCTGACCTCCAACTTGCAATTCTCCTGCCTCAGCCTTCTGAATGCAGGGGTTTACAGGTATATGCCACCATGCCTAGCTTATGTGAATTTTTACATGCATTTAAAAATTTGCTCATTGTATATGTGTGTGTTTTGGTTTTTTCCTTTTTTAAAATAAACCTCATTTAACCTGCTTTTCAGTGACTATCATAAAAAACAAGAATTCCTCAGAGCTCTCCGGAAGAAGGCTCTTGAAAAAAATCCAGATGAATTCTACTATAAAATGACTCGGGTTAAGCTCCAGGTGGGTGTAAAACGGATCAGTCATAGTTTAGAGCCTCAGAAAGGATCCTTAGCTTTAAATTTAGCCCTTTTACAGTTGGTTCAGGTGCTCTTGGTCAGTGTCTAAGGCAAACCTGCCCTTTCTTGAGCAGCATGCATTGCTACTTCTTTGTCAGAGTTATCTTATGCCTGGAGTTTTCTAAGAACAGATGACTGGAGGTGCTACATTGAATATACACCTTGGAGGCCTGGTGCCTTGGATTACTGTTAGCATGCAGCATTTGATTATTTTTTGTTTTTGGTTGGACTGGGGTTTGAACTCAGGGCTTCGCTCTTCCAAAACAGGTGCTCTACTACTTGAACCCCACCTCCAGTCCACAGCATTTGGTTTATTATAACCATAAACTATACCGATAATTTATTAATGATCATATTTTTAATAGGGAATGTATCTTTTAAATTTGGATTTTAGGATGGTGTTCATCTCATTAAGGAAACTAAAGAAGAAGTAACTCCAGAACAGCTAAAACTTATGAGAACTCAGGATGTCAAATATATAGAAATGAAAAGGGTTGCAGAAGCTAAGGTAATAATTAACTCTGTTCTGATGTATTTTTGTTGGTTGAGAAAGGAAACAAATCCATTAATCTCAATTATCAGTTATTCTGATATTTTCAGTCGTACGTTATGGTTGATTGTGGTAATGATTTAGAAGTATAGTAAACATGGTGGAATAGAGTTCAAATTTGAAAATGAGAAAGATAGTAGGTTAAATTTTGGCTCTGTCATTTACTAGCCCCATGGCTATGGATAAACTAACCTCTTTGAGGCTGTTTGCTCATTTCTGTCTTATAGGATCGTTGTAAAGACTTGAGTTTTGTGGATTGCCTAGCCTAGTACTTGCCATGTAGTTGGTGCTTGGTAAATTTTAGTGGTCTTCTCATTTAGAAGGATGAAATGAATTCTTTGCTGACGAGTGATAATGATGTGAAATTTCTTTGGTTTTTTTTTTTTTTTGTGGTACTGGGTCTTGAACTCAGGGCCTACACTTTGAGCCACTCCACCAGCCCTTTTTTGTGATGGGTATTTTCGAGATAGGGTCTTGTAAACTATTTGCCAGGCTGGCTTTGAACCATGATCCTCCTGATCTCTACCTCCTGAATAGCTAGGATTACAGGCGTAAGCCACCAGTGTGCAGCTTATTTATTTCTGAGACTCCAGAAGAACCCAATTTAAAGTGAGACCATATTCTGTATTCTAGAAAATTGAAAGACTAAAATCAGAGCTCCATCTGCTGGATTTCCAGGGGAAGCAACAGAATAAGCATGTATTCTTTTTTGACACCAAAAAGGAAGGTAGGAAATGTGTGAAGGTTTCTGGGACAGTCTGTCATATCATCTGTGTTGTTTGGTTTTAGAGACAAACAGTGCCTAAAGAATTGTCTTGCATTTTAGTTGAACAGTTTGATATTGCCACTCACCTGCAAACGGCCCCAGAACTAGTCGACAGAGTCTTTAATAGACCCAGGATAGAGACCTTGCAGAAGGAAAAGGTGAAAGGAGTCACCCATCAGACTCGACTTAAGGTAATTTTCTCCATTGTTACTCGGATGGGAGTTTGGCAGAATCTTGGGTCCTTTTTTTTCACTGCTGCATTTAATATAATTATTTGTAGAAAACTAGAGTTCCTGTAGCACAGTGGAAGGAGGATTTGATGAATGGGGGTGGAAGTGGGAGTGGGTTCCTTGGTTTCTCAAATTGTAGTAAGTGTAAGCATAGTGGTCAAAAAATTGAGTTCAGGGTTTGAATCCTAGGCTGAACCCCGTGCTTTGTGTTTTTAGTGCTTGTAACCTTCATTAGCATTTTTAAAATGCAGAGTAAAAAGGGAACAGTGAAGATTAAGGGGTGTGGTCCATAGTGCTTTGATATTGAAGCTTCAGCAATGAATACAAGTATTAAAAGGTCTTTCATATTATGCATTTGTAACCAGAATTTTGTGTTGACTTGTTCTTATGGTGCTGTTCATCATTGTAACTGGGTTATGGAGAAGATATGCTTTTCCTTAAAGCCTTCTGGAGTTGAACTCTCACTTCTGACTGATTCATTTAAAAAAAAAAAAAAAGAAAGAAAAAAAAGAAAATGCTGTCAATGTGTTTCAAGCAGACAGCTGTTCTGTTTTGATTTGAATCATTTACACTGCATCAGTTTTGCTTCCAATGTTTAATTTCACAGCAGTTTTCTGTAGCTCAGAGGCAGCTAAACTTGTGTTAGTATTATAAATACCCCTAATTAGTTTGACTATATTGGGTAATCCCATAAATTTGACAGTCTGTGCAATAAAGTGAAAACAAAAGCTGTCTGAAACCACTGCTGTGAGACTATGCTAGAATCAGTGAATTGTTGAAGTCTGAGGCCCAGTAATATTTCCCTTTATGTAGATAACACTTCCAGCTGAGGAGCAGGCTTACTAGTGTTCTTGTGATAACCCTGTTTGTCAATTAGTTGTATTTTCAACTAGCTGTGTTGTTGACACTTCTCTAGTTACTATATTAGTCCCTAAAGAGATTAGTATTTCAAACTCCTGTGTAGAATAGTTCGCCATCATAGTTCTTAGGAAGAACTATGAGAAGGTTTTGATCTTGGCGTTTTTGTATAGTGATGATGTTTCATACAATTGTTTTTGTGTAAAGCAAGATTATTTTTCTTAAGAGACTGCTGGTGGGTGGATTGCAAGTCTGTAACTTGGAAGGGGTAAACAATCCATGATTGGGCTTTATTTTATTAAAATTTTTTTTCATGAATGGGTTTTAGAAGGTCTGTGAAAAAGATTTGTGAACACACACCGAAATTCTGTGCAAGTATGTGCATACGGGTTGAACATTCTTAATCCAAAATGCCAAAATGTGAAATGCTCTAAAATTGGAAACTTTTTGGATACCAAAGTGATGCCACAAGTGGAAAATTCCATACCTGATTTCATGTGATGGGTTACCGTCAAAACACAGGCATACTGAAAATATGTGTAAAATTATCTTCAGACTGTATATAAGCAATATATAAAATATAAATGAATTTTTATTTATTTATTTATTTATTTATTTATTTATTTGGCAGTACTGAGGTTTGACAAAGGACAGTGTTTTTTTGTTTGTTTTTTTGTTTTGCGGTACTGGAGTTTGAACTAATGGCCTCCTGCTTGCCAGGCAGGTGCTGTACCTTTTGAGCCACACCTCCAGCCTTTCTTGCTCAGGCTATTTTGGAGTTGGGTCTTGCTTTTTGCCCAGACTGGCCTGTACTGTGATCCTCCTGTTTTAAGCTTCCTGCTGTAGCTGGAATGAGAGGCGTGCTGTACCACATCTAGCTTTTCTCCATTGAGATGGGGGTCTCAAAAACTCTTTTTCTGAGAGTGGCCCAGATCCTCCCAATCTTAGCCTCCCCCATAGCTTGGGATGTCAGCCGCACACCACGGTGCCCAGGTATTGGTTGAGATTGGGTTGGCTGGGGTGGGGGGGTGGGGGGGGTGGGGGAGGTGAGGGGGGGGTGTCTCTGAAGTTTTTGCCTAGGCTGGCCTTGAACTGCAGTCTTCAGTTTACGCAGCCTCCCAAGTAGTTATGATTACAGACATGAGCCACTAGCACCCAGCCTTAAATGAATTTTGTATGTAGACTTGAGTCTCATTCCCAAGATACGTCATTATGTACATGCAAATATTCTAAAACCCCTCAAAATTGGAAATGCAGAACACTTTTTGTCCCAGTTATTTCAGATAAGGGAAACTCAAGCTGTATGTTATCTCAAGAAAGAACCCAAAGTTTTTGTCAATTTCTGAGAGGTTTATGCTTTCCCAAAAGTTAAGGACCCAGGTGGGGTCCTTAACTCCTCTCAGAGGAGTCATTAACAGTGAGTATTCTCAGGTCAGCCCCTGTGAAAAATCTTTTTGTTGTTTGAGTTCTCAGATTCTCAGACCCTGTCCCACTGCCTGTGGCCCTTTTGTTGCTCTCTGTTCACTTTGTGTAGAATTTCCAGTACAGTCCATTGTTGACATCATCTCAGGGAATTTGGGTACTCAAACAGAGGTCGAAGCAGCTTAGCTTGGCAGTAGAAAAATTCTTGGAATCTGTGGGCCCAGGACAGTCCTGACTCTTTTCCAGGTGACCCATGTGTCCCTGGGCCAGTTATTTTTCTTCTCTGGGCCTCATTCTGCATTTGTAAAATAACAGATTTCAGTAAGGTAGTTTCCAGGTTCCTTTCAGCTCTAGATGTGATGTTCCTAAAGCTGACAACTTCATAGTAATCGTATTGTGTTGATTCTGTAGTAAGGCGATAGTTGATGAAATAATTTATTTATTGGGCTCCGTTTATACATTTAGACTTAAGTGTCTTAATCCAGTTTCTTATTGTTTGCCTTGTTAATTATTTTATTGAAAATATATGTGTTCTATAGCGAATCGCTAAAGAAAGGCAAAAGCAATATAACTGCTTGACACAGCGGATTGAACGGGAGAAGAAATTGTTCATTATTGCACAGAAAATTCAAACACGCAAAGATCTTCTGGTGAGTAGAGAGAGCCTTAGGCTTCTCTGCTTTTTTCTTGTAAAGGTTTTAACTAAGACTGGATTTCAGCTGTGTGTAAATCAACCCCACTGAAAATGTCTGCTCCTCAGGGGCAATGGTTTGAGCCAGTGTCTATTGCTCTGACAGTGTTGAAATGTTCCTTGATTAAGAAGGTAATAAGGGGGTTATTAGTCAGTGCCTTGGAACAGCAAAGGGTAGGATCGGGTAGCATATGAACTTTATAGCTTATGAGCAGCTCCCGTAACATTTAAACAGGTTAACAAAACAGTGCATGTCACTCACTGGTGTTTAAAAATAGACAACATTGTGTAGTTAAATAGCAGCGCTAAGGAATAGAAGATGCCTCTTTCATATTATTATCATTTCTCTAAATGTCAAATTCTTTAGCCTTGCAGATCATTTAGGTCAGCCTTTCTCAACTGGGGTTCCGTGAGAGAATTAAAATTACAGTTTTAAATATAACAATTATTTGAGCACTTCTCTCAATTCTCCCAAGAACTGTACACAGCTAGTACCATTCTTGATGCCCAGGGGAAAGGCTAACTCATTGCATACAGTGGATGCCTATGGGCAGTAGGGCTGTCTCTTCTGAACTTTGTGAAGAGCTGTATTTCTTTTAGGCAGCTTATTAACCTTCCTGTTTTACAAAGCCCTTTCATTCTGTTTACTGGGAATCTTTTCTACTCTTACAGGATAAAACTCAGAGGGTGAAGGTGAAGAAAGAAACAGTTAACTCCCCAGCTATTTACAAATTTCAGCATCGTCGAAAACGTTGAAATGTTACAGATAAACCCTATCATTCTACATTGAAATAAGTTTTTTTTCTTTTTTGGTAATTATTTCAAATTTCATTAGTCCAAATGGCATGATTTTCCTGTTTATAATCATGATTGTTGATCTGATATTTGATGCCTTTCTGTAAACAACATTAAAATCCCTTCCTCCATGTCTTTGTTTTTTGATTGTGAATCAATCTTATTTTTATATACAGTACTTAAATTTTTTTCATTATGAAAGTTATACTAATCTCATTACAACAAAGTAGAAAATAGATGAATTCATTCCTAATCCCAATACTTATTCAAAAGCAACAAATTTATTGCATACGAGGAACTAGAGCTATGGAGCTGAGCATTGTGGTTTATTTCCTCCATTTTGTAAAGTTATGAACCAGTTTTTTTCTATATTTTTGTATTTTATAGTTGTAATTATAGTAAATTTTATATCTAATTTTTAATTAAATTATCAGCTCTTTTCCATTTTGTTATATCACTGACTTTTTGAAAAGTAATATATGCTCATAGTAAAAATAAAAGAAATTGTTTATAATGATTGTCTAATATTTTGCCCAGCAGGTAGACTGATTTTATCCTCATTGATTGTTTTGTTTATCCACGTAGCTTTATAAGTTTTCCAAGCATAATTTTTTTCCTCTTACATTTAGATCTGGAGCTAGAAACCCTTAGAATTTACATTCACACAGGGGCACCAGTTCTTTATCAATGAAGCTCACATCAGAGTAGAATAGAGCTGACTCTGTTCCTGCCCCCTTGCACTCCTGGCGAACTGATTCCAAGCCTATAAATGGCATCACCTGAGAATACAGACCCCAGGCTGTGTGGGGCACCTTCCTTCTTTTCTTCCCAGGGTCCCACCCTTCCCTTCCTTGCCCATATATAGGGATGGTAGGCCAAGACCAGTCAGGACAGGATTGAACATGCTTAGAGTGAGTGTGGGAGAACAAGGGAACAGGGTTCTGGGAGGCTTGCTCACACCTCACCCCCTGGAGGAGTAAAAGGTATGCATGGATTTGAATTTTTTTTTTTAATTAGTGTCAATTTTTAATATAAGTGCCCATGACTGTTAGGTTCCTGTACAAAACCTAGAATGAAAGACTATTTCCTCAGTGTACACAGTGTGGTTTAAACCAGGGAGCCCTGAGAACAAGAAGGGCCAGGGGAACTGAAGTTAGCAGCTTTTGTCTTCGGGAAGGAAGCACTGTCAGTCTGTGAACTCCCTTCTGGGAAGATTCTGTGTTCAATCAGTGCTAATCTTTGAGTCCCAGATCCATCATAGGCCTGTTGGACAGCCCAGGAGGTACTAGCCAGAGTGAGAGAATTTCCTATGAAAGAAATCTCATAGAATTGTCTTATATCTGAGGAGTGAACAGAGTAAGCAGGGATCTGTTCCTGGGATCAGCAGTTAGGTGTTGCTGCTCTGCCCCTTGCCACTACTTGGTAGGAAGGTGGGGGAGGATAGGGTGTATACCTGAATGCCTTCTCGTGAAGTGTACACCCACACAAAGGTACACAACTTCATAGACTTTTATGTTAACAGATGCACAAGACATATACAAACCCTTATAACTTGGGGTTTGTAAACAGGTATAGGCACACCTACACATCTGGCATATAGACATAAACGGAGGTGCTTGAAGGGGCATGTACACAAGCCAAAAACAATGGAAAGTCCATCTTACTGGAGTACTGGAAGTTCCAGGCTGGAGGTAATCAGAAGTAAGGGAGTAATGCTACATGTCCTAGATTTCTGTGATGCTGAGGGCTGTCTAGAGGCCCAAGGATTCTAAGAGAAGTGATTGGTTCCAGCCTCATGGGTTCTGAGAATAGACCAGAGCTTTGATGCTTTGGTGCTGGGTGGGACCAGACCTCTAGCTCACTGGGAGTGGGGAGAAAGTTATTTCCTTAGTGCCTACATCCCTGGGCTCGGGTTGGCTTGGGCTGTTTATGGCATATCACTCTGGCTGCTCCAAGGGACTGTGGAGGTGGAGAGCTTTTCTGTGAGTCAGTACTTTGGTTCAAGTCTCTTGCATAAAAACCAAGTCTCCAAAGCAGTAGTTGTGTGAGCCCTCTTGGAACCTCTGGGTCTGTGCAAGATAATAAGTCTAGCTCAGTGTTTACTTCATTACTACATCTTAGGGACTTTGGACCAAAGCAGGAGAGTGCTAAGCTCTCACTTTGTTCTTGAATAAAAGAATCTGATTTTCTGTGCTTAGAAGGAACTGGTTTCTGGTGACAGGGTGGGAAAGGGCCCAGCAGGTGGAGCTGCTGCCCCTTTACTGGGCTGGTTCTCAGGAGCTGGTGTTCACCCACTGTCGCACACTTTGCCCTGTCTGAAGCTTTGTATACCCGGTAGGTGCTTAGTACGGATTTGTTCATTTTATTTTTATTTTGCAGTACTGAAGCTTGAACTCAGGGCCTTTGCCTTGAGCCACTCTGCCAGCCCTATTTCTGTGAAGGGTTTTTTGAGATAGGGTCTTGTGAACTATTTGCCTGGGCTGGCTTCAAAACACAATTCTCCTGATGTCTGCCTCCTGAGTAGCTAGGATTACAGGTGTGAGCCACTGGCACCCCTGGGATTTGTTTATTTTTAACAGTACTGGGGGTTGAACTCAGGACCTCCTGCTTGATAGGCAGATGCTCTACCACTTGAGCCACAACTCTAGCCCTTTTTTTGGCATTAATTACTTTTCAGATAGGGTCTCACTTTTTTTGTTCAGGACCAGCCTCCCTTCCACCATGGCTGGGATGATGGTGCATGCTACCATTCAGGCATATTTATCAAGATGGGGTATTGCTAACTTTTTTGCCCTGGCTGGCCTGCAATCAGAATCCTTCCAATCTCCATCTCCAGAGTAACTGGGATTATAGATGTGAGCCACCGCACCCAGCTCAAATTTGTTTATTGAATTTAGTGCTATAGGGGAGAGTCCCCATGAAAAAAAGACTTTCTTCTTCTTAAGCTTGAGATTATTCCCTTCTATTTCTGGTGAGGACCTTACAGAGAGCATTGGGCTCTTGTCACAGAGCTTCAGATTTCCCACAGGTGATTCCACTAAGACATGGTAGGGGTCTCCCTTTGCACAGTTTGGGGGGTTGGTCTGTGACTTGCTCTCTCCCCTTGCTGCTGGCTGTGGGTCACTGAACAATTAGAGCTGCACATCCTCCAGCAGGGAAGGCAGCCAACAGATGCAGTCTGCTCCGCCTGCCTGTGGAGGCCGGTGAGGCCAGGGCCTGTTGGGACTTGAAACAGTGAGGCAAGTGGGTGTGTGGTGCTGGGCTCCTTCCTCCTCAAGCCCTCAGCCTGCCAGTTCCTGGAGCCTCATGTATAGGGCGTTGGGGAAAGGCAAGCCGAACCTTGGGTGGGAGTCCTGGCTCAAAGCCACAGGCCAGTGGAGGAATCGGGGGTGGACCTGAAATCCCGTCTTGAGACTGAGCCGACAGGTTTCTTGGGCTTGTGCAGCTGCCTTCTGGGGTCAAAAGGTACACTCTCTCTTGCCAGCCAGGTCATGGGGCCCTCCCTGCTGGCGGGGCTCCCATGGGCTGCTGGATCTATGCAGGGTGTGCAAGGAAGGGTGAAAGCGGCTGTGAAACAAGAAAAGGCAGAGCTGTTCTTAGTCCATGGCTGAGGATGTAGCTCATGGTTAGAATGCTTACCTAGCACATGCAAGGCCCTGGGTTCCTTCCTCAGCACTGCCAAAAAAAAAAAAAAAAGTGCACCTAAGTCCTCTGCTGAGACTTAAGAGACTAGAAGTCATACAGTTCATGCTTCTTGTTTTCCCTTAAACTGCCCTGGTCAGAGGAAAAACATATTCTCTTGCTTCCTTATACTCCCTTTATAAAGAATGTCCCTGCTCCCTCTCTCCCTGCTCCGTCAGCATGGCATTTGGTAATCCTGTCCCAGCTGTGTTAGCTCTCCCTGTCCACCTTGTCCATTGCAATTGATGGCCCTAGTTAGTAATAGCAATGGTTATTTCTTCTCATGAGGAGCACACTTGTATTAGGAAGTTGTACAGTTGGAGCTCTCTATTCCTGTGGGGTGGTCCAGAACAGAGCCAAGGGCCTAGCAACTTGCAGCAGGAGGATGCTATGTTTGGGGGTAGAAAGGTGGGAAGGAAATCCTTTCCTGTACCCCCATCTTCCTCTCTTCAACACCCCACCTCTGTCATCTGTCACTTGATGACCATGCTCAGATCATAGGTGTTAATGAAGCTGTGGTGCCCAGAGGCAGCTGGGCAGCAACCCCTCCCCCTCTCCGCACTGCATCCTGAGCCAGCCTGACTCATTTACAGCTTTTTCCTAGTTACCCCCAAAAACTTCTCTCTGAGGTGACAAATATGGGGGTTGGTTTCAGGTTTCATGTTTTCACATTACTGAGTGGAAAAAAAAAAAACACCTTTCCAAACCAAAAAACCAGCTTCTACAGCAGAAAAAAACTTGTCCTGAGAGCCTTGAAAATTTCCCCAGCTTCTCTCCTCATCTGGTCAGAGACACTGGGACCAGAAACTAGGGGGTTAAGAGGAAGGGGCTGCATCCAGGCTGTGGTAGGGATAGGCCCTTTGGAGGTGGTGGCTTCTACCTTCCTGCTTCCAGGCTCAAGAGCCTGTGGTCTCCAGTGCCCACACATGGGACACACAGCATGCACAGCATGGGACAGCTCAGGATGGGGAGAGAACAGAGCAGGAAGGGACCATCTCTTCCCTAGCTAATTTGATCCCAGGAGGTCTGGGACAAGTGTTCCTCAGAGAGGGCTCTTTAGGTGGAGTGGTAGGTAGGAAAATAGTGTCCATCTGGTACACGGAGGCTGTGTGTGTGGATGCCACCTCCCCTCCTGTTACCGGCTGGTAGCATTATAAGCCACCCCCCACCAGGGGCAGATGGCCTCTATGGCAGATGGAGACTAGGCCAGCAATGGCTGGATGGGCTTCCCAGTGTCAGCCTGGCTTCTCTGGCTAATCAGGCAACCAGAGGGGCAGTGACAGGGATGTGTGTGTGTGTAGGAGGCAAAGTCCTGGCCTTGTTAGGCTGTTCTGGGAAAGAAGTAAAGAGACCCCAGATGGAGCCAGTGATCTTGGGGTCACATTTAAGTTTGCCAAGTATAGGTGGAAAGTGTTCAGGGCCCTAACACTGCCCCCCTGCCTGGGCT